CTACATTGATCGGAATGCATTGGTTCTATCAATTTCAGCGGCAGAAGCTCTAAATGGCTACCAAGAATCTGTATACCCTTGCCCCTACACCCCTCCAAACTTTGAGTGTTTGGGATCTGAAATTGAAGAGAGTGGAACGATTGACAGATTCATTGACGAGTTGTACACAATCTCTGATCAGCTGTCACAATTTCAATCTGGAGGACATCTATGACCTTTTCTTCACACAGTGACAGCAGTGCTCATTATGTCAATTCCTGCTTTGGTAGATGACTTTCGTGTTACGAACAAAGTATATAGAAAGCTTTTTCAAGCAGCCCAAAGAGCTAAGCTTTTCGATGCAAACAATCCGGACAAATGGGTTCATCCTGGGGCCGTTCTAGAAGGCTGGAGGACGCATATCCAAGACAACTTTAATTTTGAGAATGATTTTGATGCTATGCCTCAAGAAGTAGCAACAGCTACCATGCTAGATCGAGTTGGTTCTCAGTTAGCTCAAATTGAAAAGCAAACCAAGGAGCTGAATCAAGCACTAGCATTGCAAAGGCAAACTAGCATGCAAAAACAACAACTTGAAGGAATCCTTCTATCGATTCAAAAGGAACAACAAGCAGTGAAAGCAATGGCTAGTCAGAATAAGGAGAAGTTGTCATTTATCAAAACCCCACCACGACAAAGAAGACAATTTGCTCAGACAGCTAGCATTTCTCGCGCGTCATTGCCACCCGCTGCAGCACCACTGCCACAGCCATTGCCGGCACCCGCTGCAGCACCACAACCACCGCCACAGCCACTATCTATATCGCAATCACCATCAATGCTAGCTACCAATCCCCAAGTTGCAATGTTAGCTACCAATCCCCAAGTTACACGATCACAATTCAGCCAGCTTCCAGAATCAACACAGCAGCAACAACTACAACTAATACCCATACTATCAAAATCACCACTGCTACCTGCCAATTCCTAAATTACACGATCTCAGTTCAACCAGCTTCCACAATCAATACAGCAGCAGCAACAACCAACGCAACAGCAGCAGCAACCAATACAACAACGACAGCTACAAGCGCCAATATCAGTACAGTGACAACAGCAAAATCAACCAAAAGATGTCAATGCACTTCTGATGCGCAATCGCCAAGCTCAGAATAATTCCTCATCATGCAAAGGAATTTTGCTTGAACGACTTCTCTTGGATATAACTCCAATTAAGTGGAACGCAATCAGCCAAATTCCAATACCTGCAATAATGAAAGGAGAAAACGAGGCAAAATGTATTCATGCTTTACGATTGGCTAAGATTGCTGGATCAGAAGAACATAAACTTGCTTTGAGTCCGACTGGAATTGGTGACAAGAGCAAGAGAAAAGAAGCGGCGAGCGGGATAGCACATGCTTGCATGGAGACGCTGCTGAAGTTAGAAATAGAACTTGGCTTGAAACCAGTTGGTAGCACAATTTCATCAAGGCAAAAGGGCACGGTGGTGGCACTCGGAATGCGCTATCAGAAATATCAAACGAAGAAAGATAAGCAACAACAGCTACAGCAGAAATTGTGACGACAGCAACAGCAGCAGAGACAACATCGACGGTAGTAATAGTAGCCATTACATTATCAGTTTCCTACTAGCTAGCTAGCTAAAATAGTTTGTTAATTAGTGATGTTTGTTTGTTACTGTTGCTTGGGTGCGACGCCATTGCCTTCATTAGTGGTAGTGGTTGTTACTGTGAGATGTCAGTGTCATGCCATATGGCTTGCTCTCTTTGGGAAGAATGGCTTCTATCAGAGCTAGGATGCTCTGGGAGCCCCCAAGTGCTGCCAGCCGAACGGTCACATCCATTGGGCTGGCTCTCTCAACTTTCCAGAGCCTACGGTGCGATCCTACGTGAATTCCCTGTAGCCCTGGAAAGTTCGCCGCCCATACTCAAAAAGGGCAAGGAATAAGGAATACCCAACCAAGATTTCAATCTAGTAGCATTGGTGGGTTAGTTTTACGGAAATGAGGCTTCTGTAAGTTACAGAAACTAGTTTTACGGAAATTTCGGTAAATTACGGAAACGCTTCTACATTTCCGTAAAACTACTAGTTTTACGGTTTCAGTCGTGTTTACAGTACCGTTCTATGACGTTTTTCGACCTAAAATAGTTCTACGGTTTTTACTTTTACGGAACTTTTCCGTAACTTTTCCGTAGAACTAACAGTTCTACGGAAATTTCGATAATTTACGGAAGTTGCATTTCCGTAAAACTCAAATCCGTAAATTACGGAAATGGACATCCAGTCGTGTTTCATGGACCGATTCCGGACCTTGATGAATGTTATGTTCTTAACCGGTACCAGCTAGACTATCTGGTCTAACTACACGTAGCTAGCGCTCAAAGTAGCAGCTAGCTAGTAGAGAGTTTGGTCAAGTTGAAAAGGACAACTTCAACAGAACTCTCTGGCTGGCTAGCTAGCTAAGATATCCTGGAAGAGTTCAGGGTAAATGCAGTCAATGGTGCTATTTGCCCTTGATCAAGCACTCCAGGGAAGATGGCTGAACCTGGAGCCAATCCGGCATATGCATACCGGTATTGCATGCCAGCCAGCACGCTGGTAGTTTGCTAGCAGTTATACTGTCCAATCGAATACGACACGAATCTACCGCATTCCCATCACATCCAAAATGAAACTCAGAAAGGGGCAAAGTATCTTCTGCTTTTCCCGGTAGGAGTGAGGACAGCAGTTGCAGTTTGTTCTATGCTACCCATATGATGGTCGGTGATTGGTAAGAGTGGAAGTCCTCACATGCCTCACCAGCAGTTCCAGTTTTGTCGGTTGCTCTCTTGCGTGGATTGATTTATGCACAGATGCGTTGCTGAAACCTTTTCGTGATGTGCCCTTGAATCCAACCGGAGAGTCAATACCAAAACAAAACAAAAACTCAATGTCTATTCAAGGATGCAGACAAGAAGTGTTTGAGGACGACACACGAGCTGAGGCCCAGGTGTTTCCCACGGTCAAATCTGCTCACCAACCGCACTGGCCCGGTAAGAGTCAACCCCAGACAGCCAAGTACGCCGTCACGCCATCACAAGCGAAAGAGTGCTTGTTCATTACGAGCTCTCAGTGTCAAGGGATCGCGGGCTCTCCTGACGAGCCTGTTGTTGGCATCTTTCGAGGCAGGCTGAAGGACCAGAGTGTTCTCTGACAACGGAACCCGACAGCCAAGCTGAACAGCATCCATGAAAGTTTGGGAACAGATTTTTTGACGAACAGTAATCCATTGGCAGCTGTCCGGTACAAGTATTCAAGCACAGCATTTTGGTGAATTTCATGGGATACAGGGCGAACATATCAGCTTTGCACCGATGGATGGTTTCCATATTTAGATTCTGTAAACCAAAGGTCTCAAAGTTGGGCATGGAACTTGAAGGACAAGGTTGCGAGGAGCAGTCGTTGTAGTAAATGCCCGGTACCAGGACTCGCCATTTGAAATCCACACCATGTTCTTGGTTGGCGCCAAAGCTGCACATCTGCCAGGCATGCAAAGCTTCGCAAAGTGGGAGAGTCCGCATTCAACGTCACGCCCCAGTTGTTGTGCCATCAAGGCTTGGAGGCACCGGTATCCCTTGATCCACAGAGCGTCCTGCTTGTTGTACGTCGCAAAGGTTTGCATAGCCCTAGCGCGTCTTAGATCATCGGATAAGTCACCTCCAGCAAGATTTTCTTCACTCACAATCGCAACTTAAAGGAGCATACCACGTGTCTGTCAGTTCACGCAGAGTGCCAAACCCCCCGACGGCAGTATTAACTCTAGCTAGCTAGAGCCCGCCAACGCTCTTCCTCTGCAATCTTCATTGCGGCGTCTTTGTGTGGATAGATTCTCCATACATAGCCTGGCAATCACGCCCTCGGCGGTGGGATTCGTCCTCCGTGTAGAAGTCGAAATTGTGTTACAGTGTTGACGATCCAGATTTGGGGAAACTGTTGGCGGCCGAACGCAATTCTTCCAATCTCGCAGCCATCTTTGATACATCATGTAGGTTGGCTCAAACTTTGACTAAGGGAAATGGCATGTACTACATGTACCAGAAGTGCGAAGGGTTTCAATAGCATCCAGAGAACAACGCAAGAAGAATCACCAACCACGGAGTTGGCTGGGTTAGAATTTTGTTGTGGTCGTCCCTTTTTTTTGTCCTTTTTGGAGGGTTAGGGTTAGCCGGAGGGTTAGGGTTAGCCGAGTTTGCCCGTATGGTATGGTTAAAAACTTGGGTTATTTAGATTATACCATTACGCGGTACCGGCCAGATGTAACCAAACTCCACTCCTCAATATAAACAGATGTTTAGGTAGATTAGACCATTACGCGGTACCGGCCAGATGTAACCAAACTCCACTCCTCAATATAAAGGGGGGCTTAGGTAGATTAGACCATTCCAGATGTAATCAAACTCCACTCCTCAGTATGAAGGGGGGTTTAGGTAGATTAGACCATTACGCGGTACCGGCCAGATGTAACCAAAGTCCACTCCTCAATAATTATATAAACAGGGGTTTAGGTAGATTAGACCATTACGCAGCAGCTATCTAAAGCACGTATACATTCTGGGAGCCCAGTATTAGCTATTTGCCAATCAAGTGACAGCCCTTTTTGCTATTTCTATTTCCGTGGTTGGCGCAACCGGAGGCATCTTGTGATGTGGAATGTGGAAACTCTCTCTTTTTGCCTCTGGTATCTAGCATTGAAGGCGATAGAGTAATTAGAAAGGAGCTTTAGGTGTACCGGTACTGGTATTACTGTAGGCTTTAGGCTCAGAAACAATTAAGCTTTTGCGACCACTGACGTCTCGAAAGACACAGCTAATAATTGAATTAATATGGGTGTAATTTTTGTGATTTAAAAGGCAGTATTGTTGTGTCCAAGGACCAAGGACCTTTCCGAGAAGATCCACAGTGGGGCTTGGGTTCGCAAGGTGAAGTTGTGAGTGGCAAAGAGAACACTGGTACAGGTACAGTTCTTCAATGATATTTCAACCCCCCTTCAATCCATGATACCTTCTCAACTGTACACAGCCATGCCACAACTTCGCATCATAAACTTTCTTATGAACTCCTTGTCGGGTAGCATCCCCACTGAGATGGGCTTGATCTCAGACCTGAAGTGGTTGGCATTCGACTTCAACATCTTTCTCACTGGCACGCTGCCATCTGAACTTGGGCTCCTGACAAAATTGACGCGCCTGTCTCTGTCAGTGAACTCATTGTCCTCGACCATTCCTTCGGAACTGGGCGCATGACTTCACTTGTTGCCTTGGATCTGGACTCGTTATCCCTCACTGGCGCCATACCAAGAGAGATCGGGTGGCTCTCGAACCTTGAAGGGCTGGGCTTGAACAACAATGCCCTGTCTTCCAGCTTGCCAACGGAACTTGGGTTGCTGACAAAATTGTATTGGTCTTTCAACTTGTACCGAAATGCACTGACAGGGTCTATACCCAGTCACTTTGGGCAATTTACAAACTTGCAAAGCTTCAAGGTCCATGACAACTTCTTGTCTGGCAGCTTGCCGTCTGAGATTGGCCTCTTGGCAACACTGGAGTACTTGGATGTGGGAAGCAACCAATTGTCTGGTAGTCTGCCCAGCCACCTGGGCTTGCTTACTGGCCTGAAATGGCTGGAATGTGCAGACAACTCATTGTCTTCCGCCATCCCATCCGAGATTGCTGGCTTGACAAGTCTGGAACGCCTAGACCTTGCCAGCAATCAGTTAAGGGATGCATTACCATCAACCCTGGGGTTATTGGCCAAGCTGGAATGGATGGATCTTAGCAGCAATGTTCTATCCTCGGTCCTTCCTGGAGAGCTGGGTATGCTGGATAGTCTCAAGGAGCTCTTCTTGGACTCGAATCAGTTTACAGGCTCTGTACCTTTTGACTGGAGTGGCATGACTGCATTGAGAGTCCTGGGTCTTTCAGACCTGCCCCTTCTCAGTGGCTCCCTTCCAGTGGAGCTTGGCTGGATGGCATCCATGTACAATCTTTCTTGGCTGAACATGAGTGCCACCAGTAACTTGCATGGAGTCCTTCCAGAAGACCTGTGTCATCTGGCAAATAATGAGGCCTGCAACTACACTCTTTCGGGAAGTCCCTTTGAAAACCCCAAGGACTGTGTGCTCGAATTCGATTGTACGGAGAGCTTGTGTGGATGTGATTGCAACTGTACTGCAGTTGTCTAGCTACGACGTTTAAACGTAGTAGAGACGGGCAGTCTGTGGATAGTTTGTCCCAAAAGGAGAGCTTTTACAGTACGAGTATGCTCGAAGCCAGGGTGGATGGAGGGTGTTAACTCTTCGAGTAGTCTTTGAATGAAAGAATTAGATCCTGAATACATAGATTTAAAGGGCAAATTTTCAATCCCGTAGAGCCTCGTGGTGGGTTCGTACGAACGCTTCAAATGACCCAAACAAACGCGTGTATTGGTAATCCGTAAAAGTGGTGCCAACAACCTCACGACCTCATCAATCGACCAACCGTGGCTGCCATCAAACCGAAAGGACCCAACATCAGCGAGCATCAGATCCAGTTAATTAAACCAAAGCGAAACAACCCCTCAAGAGAAAGAAACTACTACAGTAGCATCAGAAAGCGATACTGATCGGGTCTCATCGGGGTTTGAGCATCGCGACGAAATTCGTCTTGATTCGATTCGAAAGATTCCTTCCATCGTTCCTTCCATCGGTTTCTCTGGTCTCTATTGAATTGCAAGGTCGGACGGTCGAGTGTCTCATCTTTGTTTGGAAGCAGATTGATTCGATTCAGACGCAGCTATAACGCTATAGCTATAACTAGAGATCTGAAGCAGGCTGCCCTCCATTGGAGTGAATCTCATCTCCCGAGACCCAGCAAGATTTGAATGTTGAGAAACGAGAAATAAAAACTGAGGAAGCAAGGGTTTGCCTGCCTGCCTAATCCACACACGCTAAAGCCCTACGTATTGGCTGACCATCCATCCCATCTACAGTCTCAACCTCAGAGATCCCAGTTTGACAGTACTTGTTTTTCTTGCCAGAGAGTACTAGCTAGTAGGAACATGACTACGGGAAAAGAAGGCAACAATGCTGAGAAAAACAATACCGACAATGCGGGGACTGCAGCGGCAGAACTACAATCCCCACCACCCCTGCTGTCGCCCCAGGCAGCCGAAGCGCAGCAGCACCTGGATAGGGTCAGGAGCGAGAGAACATTGCAAGCATCAGAATCAGATACATGTAATGCACAAGACGATGTATCCATTAATAGTGATGACGCTGTTGGCATCGTCGAACCAGAGCCTATGATTACCAGCAAGGCAGCAGCAGGCCTGCAAGACAACGACGAAATACCTGGAACTGATTCTCACGAGGGGATCGATCGTAGCCAGGGAGAGGAGAGGCAGAGTCTTACCGTCGGTGATCTGTTACAGAGCGATACTGCCCTTCGAACAAGACAATTGGATCCACCTGCCGGGCCGTCACGCGCCACTCCTCTGTACAGGACCCAAACAAGTGGCGACAATGTTCCAGAAAGTAGCGCTCCTGGATCTACAACGACGAGGAGTGGGGATGGCGAATGGGATCAATTCACGGAGCATAGTTTGAAGGAAACGGACATTTTCCCAAGTCGCCATCCACAAATTCCATTCGATACCACCACCATGGATGAAGCCCCTCCAGACTCCATATCATACACCGAATTGGTCAAAATGGTACGGCAGCTCAAATTGGAGGTAGCAGAATTGAGAGCGGAAAAGCAACAAGAACAACAACTTGAGAAACGTGTCTCCTTTGACACTCAAGTCTCAGCACCGAGTAACACGGGACCGAGCAGTTTATACTATCCCAGCAACACGAAAAACAGCAGTCTGGGCACACGTCATGGATCATCGACTAGCTTTGATGATTCGTTCCTCCATGGAAGTTACATTATTAATCGAGGAGGAAGCAACGCCGCCAAGCACTCAAATCCATTCCGCACAAAGTCGCAACAATCCTCCAGTAGCATTGCTGTGAGTGCGGTCGATGCCAAGAGCATTCCACTCCCAAAGCAAATCACCAGCGAAGCAAGAGAAGTAAGTGCCCTGACCACAGCAGCACTACTAGATGACGACAATAGCAACAATAATAATAAAGGGGAAGAAGGAAAACTGAAAACGGCGGAGCCAAAACGAGTTCCGAGACCTAGTGAAAAACGATGGAAGCTACTACAAAATGCCTTTGTAGCTACAAACAGGGCACTGGCCGTGGACGAAGATGAGGTGGGAACAGGCAGTGAATCGTCCAACAACAGCAAAAGAAAGGGATTGTCGAAGAAGTCGTCCCTTGTGTTTATGCATCCTGAAGACGGTATGTGCGCCATAATATGCTGAACGGCATTGTTAAGGGTTTCAAATTGTCCCTGCTTAAAAGAGTGAGGACCACAATGACAACTATTCTCACCTCGATTTATTTGTTTCTCATCTACGCCTTTGCCTGCTGTAGTCAAGGAAATGCGTGCGTACACACCAGAAGAGCTCGAAAACGTGAAACGACGACCTTTTCCAAGTCGGTTTTTTATCACCAATATCCAAGTGGCGGTAAGTGCTGGATATACCCTTTGCATGGAGCACTTGTCCACCATTCATCACTTACCTCTTATCGCATGGCCGCGCACACCGGTATATAGTGGAATACAGTTTGGCTTCGAACCAGACACACAGACCATCATGCCCACAAATCTTCCTTCATTCAGATCCGTGATGCGTTCAAGGTGCGTCCCACAGCCATGCTGTATGTACTCCTACCATATACGACTGTACCGCCGATTCTCTTGCTTTAGTAGTTGTTCCGACGTTCTGCTCCTAAAATTCACTTGTTTCGCTCGTGTCCCTTTGTTTTCCACCACCACCAGGCTGATGCAATTACAAACAATCCAACAGGAGCCAAGTACGCTCTGACAGAACTACTCAACATGTGCTACGGAATGGAAGAGAGCGAGTACTACAGGTATGTTTGTACGGGCAATCTTTGACCTTGAATGCGTAGTAGAGAGGAACTTGTGTTGACCTTCTGTTTTAGCTTTGCTTGCACCGTTGCCTCTGCTTTCTCCATTGATGCATCCAATACAGAGTTCGAGAGTTCTCTGCTCCTACACGCTCCAGACCATGCCCGCGAAGAGCACTTGAAGAAAACAGAGGATGATATTAGGAATAATCACAGGAACCTGAAGGAAAAGGAAGTCCAGCGTCGAAAGCTGGAGCATGAACAAGACCTTGCAAGGAAGAGGATACGGCAGCTCCTGAACATTGTCTTTTCCAAACTGAAGCAAAAGAAGATCTTGGTGGATGATCAGAAAAACAACATCTATCGGCTCGTCCTGTGCATGACCAAGTACAATGTTCACAGTCGTTTGCCTTTCATGTATGCCGCTTTCTCCTTCTTCTTCCAGATGTGTGCTGGTCTTTATGTTGCCCTCAGCTTGACCAAGTTGGAACAATTTGACGACGATGACGAAGACCGGTGGTATAACAGTACTTCTTTGGTAGGCAGAAACATTGCTTTGGCCCTGGGTACCTGGCTTTACGGTCTGATGGTTGCTTTCCCAGAAGTAATGACTTCCAAAGAGGTCTTTGAATGCTTGTATCGGTCGGAAATTTCATGGTTGGCAGTGATGGATTTACTTGTCAATGTCATCCTGCCCGTCGGAGTGGCGTTCTGTGGTTTCTTTGTGGTATGTGCGAGTGGTCTGTTTGCCAACAACACTGAGCGCACTCCAACTCACCATATATGACTCTTCCGATCGCAAAGGTCCTGTCTGGAGAAACATTCCTTGATGGCGTCTTGAATTCTGTGGCACGTAAGTAGTACAGCAAGAGGAAACGACCGATCTTAAATGCCTCGAAGCAGTGCCGATGCTCACTTGGCCTCCTCAATGATTAAACATATGTGTAGTGATTTTCATTGCTGAGATTGACGATGCGCTTCCCCGACTTCTGGAGCTGGACACTAAGGATATCGTTCAAGGTTTCCTTATTGATCAAGCGATTGAAGAGTACGACATGCTTCTGGCTGCTCATGAGAAGTATGCAGATCTTGCCCACGTCCATTCAAAGAATGTTCCGACCATTGAATTCAGCGACATGTTTTTGACCAACACCCAGGAGAGTGGCAGCATTGCTGCCAAAGGTGTTACATTCCAACCATATGAGGTTTTTGGAGACCCAGAAGAAGTGCCTCAATTTGAAGGAAGCGGTGTCCTAGTCCTGGCCGGCAGCGTTATCAGCCTAGCCGAGAGCGTACGGAGCCGAAAGCGTACCCGCAGAGCTACAGGAACCCAGGTGAATAACAAGCGTTCGGTGACTGCTGACTGTCTTCTCAGAAAAGTTGAATGGCAGTACACGAAAGGCTTCGACGACACATGCGTACCCAGAGTTGGACATCTTCGACTCACCAAACTGAACGACCCCAAAAAACGCCCAATCAATATAAGAGGGAAAAACAAGGAATGGGATGAAGATTTGAAGCCCTTCCACTCCGTGACCGGTGTTTTCATCATTACAACCTTCAGTATGTCTGATGATGTCTTGCGGTATGTTCTCCTCTTTTACGTCCTTGCGCTTGAGTTGTCGTGGGCGTGTTGGCGTCGCTCACTTTGCATCGGCTTTTGCTTACATAAATGCCTCGTAGGCTACGAATATGCGGGTCGACGAGCATCGAGGGTTTTGTCGACGCCTTTGATTACTATAGCCTATGGCCCCTTGATAGGAGTGCCCGCGATATCCTCATGGAGAAAGAAATAGGTCACACACCCGAGGAGTGGCGCGCCAACGAACGAGCCCTGAATGGTGACGACAGACCAAAATTCAAGTTGAAGAAACGCAACGTGCAGGAGCCTTTTATCCCCAACCAGTCCGAGGCTTCAGCACGTCCCAATAACCAGACGGATGACCCAGATCCTGAAGCTGAAGACACTCTGATCATCACCAATTTCTCTGCAAGCCCCGCCAAGACTGCGCCAACTTATTCGACAGAGACACAGGAATCTGCGTTAGATGGCTCCGATTTGAATGCAGTCGAGGAAGAAGAGATTGACACAACCCAACCTGCCGAGGAAGAAGAGATTGATCTTGGCGCTCCCACGACAACTACACCCAACACCACCACGGCACCTGTCCCCCCCGGAGATCAGAACTCGTGGAATGTTCTTCAAGCCCGTGCTTTCTCTTCTGAAAGGGACTAAAGACGCAGGGACATGTATGGGAGGGTGCTGTGGTTGAAACCTTAGAATCGAATCGAATGATCCGATCAGCAATACATAGCCGGAGCCTGGACCGGGCACGGAGTGGTTGAATAGATCAACTCCAGGTCTCGATGCTACTGTACTAGCTAAGATGGCTTTTCTCTTGATGTGTTTTACGTCTGTGCTGGCTATAGCTGGCCATGGATCTTCCACCTGTACGAAGAGGTTGGTTAGCTGTTGGCAGCGCCTCGAGAATAAGAGCTATTCCCCACTGTCCCACACCGGAGCCTGGCACTGTAGTAATAAGAACTCCTGGTACTTCATGTACCCTAGCTAGTAGCTCAGGTGCCGTGGCAGCTGCACCAATCCAACCACATCTGCCAGTGATCCTCATCATCTGTATCTGGCTACAACACTGCTACTACAATAGTAGTACAAAAAGTATTTACGTTGTTGTCACGGGTCGTACTGTTATTTAATTCTCTGAGTACTAATACTCTAGCTAGCTAGCTAGTGGTACGACGTACCCGGATAAAAACTTCTGGAAGGAGCGACCGTCTCGCATCAGCAGCACCCACAACAGCGCCTAAAAGAATCCAATCCATTCTTTTGGTGACTTGTCACTCTGTTGCGTGTACATGTACATGTAGTAGAGCCGTGGTGGAGATGTTGATCACCCCCATCAATTTTGATCGCCCTGTGGGTGCTACCGCTGATGTTGCAGAACTAGAATACATCTCGGCGTTAATGCAAACGGAGAAGCTCTTTCTGAGGCAGGATGGATCTCTGACAGGCAGAGATATCCACTTTTATTTGAAGAGTCGCCACGGTGTTCGAGTTCCCGTAGAAGAAATTGAGCGAGAAATCATTTGCCAGATGGCTTGTGTCTTCCGCCCTGGAAGCAAGCATCACATTTCGCAATCATCCCACGTCACCAAGAAAAATGGGGTTGCGAATACTGTCAAGGTGGATGCTGGGAGGAGCACCACTGGCGAATTTTTTGATTGCATCATGGAAGATGCGGAACTCCAGCCACCAACAGAGCACTCTCGCCAACCCAAAGCAGGAGCACAACGAAGCATGGGCATGTCCAAGAGAGTCATGGCTCTGAGAGTTTCACAAGCAATCAGCCAAGAAGACTACGAAAAGTACAAGCAGTACAAGCACCAACAATTAAAGATGATTCGGGAGGAAGAGGATGGCAATGGTAGTACAGATGACACTGATGACGACGACACTGAAACAGAAGAACTGAAAATGAACTTGATTCGGATTGCTAGCTTGCTTTTTATCCCCAAGCTGAGGCAAGCTCGAGTTGATGCTGATAAGGGTGTGGAAACTGATCAGGTGGATGTTATTGATGTGTTTTTGGCCATTATACTGGCAGAAACCGGCCTCAAATATGATCAAGAAATCACACTGGACGTACTGCTCCATATACTTTCTTTCGGTGACAACAGGCGCAAAGAGGGCAATGAATTTACTGACAGCCTGATGGAGACGGCGCTGGCGTCACATCCTCATGCTAAACCCAGGATGAACAAAGAAACGATCTTGCGAGTACTGACAGATGACATTGAGGCTTATGATGTGGACTTGGAGAATACCAAAGAAACGACCTTTGACGAGGTAAACTCAATGGAGGGAAGCGACAAATCGAAACTACGAAGAATATACACTGCAGGCAACATTGATGCCAATGCGGACACCTATCGAAGCAAGACATGGACTATTGTTGCTTGGTATGCCATAGTGGTGATACTGGTGGCCTATCTGTTCAACGGGGTATCACCTATTTACAACTGGCAACCAACGGACTGCACTACCACTGAATACCAGGTGTCATGTGCCGTATTGGTAGCTACCCAGCACTGGCTCGAGGTGTTTGTCTCCTTGTCCATTGTTGGGTTTCCATTCTTGTTCTTGGCCAATCTGGGTAACTCGGTGTACCTGGATCGAAAGCAAGACAAGAACAAGGTCGCAGCTCTAATCTGCGTTGCAATCCTCAGCACAGCTTTGTACGTATTTGTGCCCTTCTTCCACAGGGCAGATTTTGGCTTTTTTCACTCGGATCCGACCGTCATTCCACCGGAAGAAAATGACGGATCAGTGCAACCAAACAATAGAGCGTATCTGGGACCCATCGCAGTTCTGCTAGGGTTTTTTCTCATATTTGTCCAAATGATACAGCTGATGCGACTGACCATACCCGGGCAAATGGGACGATCGTGCAAGAATTCCTCTTCGACAATGAGAGCTGCATTTGAATGGAAAAAGGCAGCTAATGTGAAAGTGGACCAGGCTGTTTTGAATGCCATTCGGTGCCATGTGGATACCACCGGTGTCAGTCCAGCAAATTGGCAAAGTAAGAGCTCGATTGGTGGCTCAGTAGGCAAGATATCCGCTGCGATCACACGATACAACCAGTCATTTACCAAACGAGAGCAAACAGGAGGCATTCTCTGGACGTGGAGGAAAATTCGTGACCGCACTTTGTTCTATGAAGAGGGCATATACATATGGCCAAGGCTGGTAGCTAGCAATATTGCCCAGTGGCTTGCAGCTCTCATCATCGTGGGTGCCTTTGCATTTGGTTTGTCTGTTCTGACCAAGGAGGAAGAGGTTGCACCTGATCTACTGTCCAATGAAAAGTGAGTCTATTTGGCCATTACACAATGTGACGATCGCCCCGAAAGTTAACTCATCGACTGCTTTGCGGATCCAATTCCAAGGTTTATCCTTGTGCTTGCTGTCGGGTTCCCACCAGCAGTTCTCGCGGCAGTTTCAACTAGTTTGATCTATGTTCCCTCTGCAGTGTCCAGTATTCTGAAGTACCGTTGCGGAGAAATACGCAGCCTTGACGATCGAAGGTTTCTGCAGAATCGGTTTGCCAGTGCGTATCAACTCCGTTTCCCCGAAGACGTTCTTTTGGCAACTGAATCAATCTAACACAATGGTTTTTGCCGAGATCAGTGGACTCGACCAATCTCTTGTTCGGCGCAGCCTTTTGGACTTGCTTGTGTTCTTCAGCTGCCTTTTATGCCCTTTTCAGTGTCTTTACGTTCTTGTGCTTATATGCTGAAACCCAACAAATGATGATTCGATTCACTGCCAACTGTATTGGGATGCTGATAACGATGATACTCAAACAGGTGCTGATGTTGTTCATACGAAGCCGGTGGAGTCGAGGGTACTATCGAAGCCGTCCCGCCGTTGTCAACATTAGCAACACAATTCAGGAAGTGTGGAATCTTGGACTAACTACGTTTACAGCTCTTGTTCGCGGCCTCAAGTTTATGGTATGTTGTTGTTGTTCATTGAGCAAAGCCACACATGGCGTGCGAGACTCTCTCACAAAGAAAGACCATCTTGTGCTGTGTAGGCAATCTTCCTTCTCTACTTGGGGCGAATTGACAGAGAAGTGTTTGCTCCCGGCGTTGGATGGTTCAGGGATGATATACCATTGGATGGGTTGCCACATTGCTTTGCCCGTGATTTACTGCTGCATGAGGCGGTACGTGCTTGAATCCGTAGCTGTTGTGTCTTCTGGTTGTTTCGGCTTGCATCGTCATGAGCCTGACACTGACTGGTTATTGTGTTGTCCCTCCCATGCGATGCGACATGCTACAGCATCGCCATCCTCTGATTGAAAGACTCGGCCTCCTGTTCATGATAAAGCTACGGAAAGGGTCTGACTTTGGAACTCGTGGGGGTGCTGCATGGCGTGTCCTCTTCACAGGAACCCTGATGCCGTGGCTGCGAAAGTATGGTGGTAACTTGGGTGCTGTGTGGAACAATTCTCGCAGTGCCGAGGAGCACCGATCGGCACTCTCTGGACTTTCCAAGGATGCTTTGGTTGAGAACTTGTTGGTGCTAGAGGACAACTATAAACAAATGGCGGAACAAATGAAAAAGATTGGTAACCGAGCCAGGATCTTGAGACCAAAGACCGGAAGTGAAGATGAAGTTTTTGCGGTGGAGGAAGAAGAGGACGACTGTGGACCTTTACTAGAAAACTATCTCAAAGAGCATGAAGCTGAGGAACCTCCCGCTTTGACACCAGAGGAGAGACCAGTGGTTCAGTTGACCAGAATCACCGGTGGAACATTCGATTGATTGAGGCTTCCAACTTTAGAAGTCGCATGCAGCCCAGATTGATTCCTTCATTCAGCTGCCACAGGGCCGGCGAAAGATTATTGCACGGGGCAGTGCAACGAACGATAGTAGCCTCCGATTAGTATGTCGTAGTTAAAACACTGGTGCTCTTCCACTCGACTGATCCGCAGTGCGCTACAGGAAAACCTGTTGCATGCGATACCAATCGAAACGTTCGTCGTCCTCAATTGCTTCGTAGGGGTGCACGATGATCAAGGGTAAATGATGTTGGACGAACAGGAAGAAGCTGCTGCAGCCGACCCCAATCCACTTATCGAGACAGGAAGAATGGTACAGTACAGTCGTCGGGGCTCGCCGCGTGGACTCGTCACTCGTCAGTGGTACCGAACAACCATGCGCAGCCCCTGGATTACTCGATCCACTGGAATCCTTGAAAGACGGGCAGCAACACTCCTTTGGCAACCACTTCTCCTTCTCATGATCATTGTATCCCTCCCAACCATCTTCTCACAACTTTGCTTTTCGAGAGGCCCACCACGTCGATCGCCCGCTTGCTTCCATTTCGCCTGTAGTGCAGATTTGAGAAAATGCCGTTCCCACCAGTATGCGACGGTCATGGCTCGATCCAACCGCTTGATTCATTCGCTGTTTCCCAGCCCAGAAAGAAAAAGGTAGATGGCCGGTCGGGCCAACACCCCCATCCGAAGACGAATACTGCATTTCAAGGAACCGAAGCAGTATCACCACGATCGGATAGCTTGCGGAGCTGGGTGTTGGAGATGACACAAGCTTGGATTTGATTCATTTCGTTTCGAGAAAGATGCAACCGATGCAGCACCGTTCACCCCAACAACATCGATCTCGTCAACATCAACGTGGCAGTTCGTGTACTGTAGTCTTGCTGCTTGGCCGTCCAACTGTATCCCCCGCAATTCGCCGCCATGGCCGCTGCCTTTACCACTACTTCGTAAACCCAGATCCCAGATCGTTCCCATCCCAAAAGCCCAAAGCACAATCTTCTTCGGGTCATCAGGTCATTCCATCAGATGCAATTGAGACACCAAACAAACAGACCGGTCTACACGTCGACACCAGCAGCAGCGCGGCTACTACTAGATCTAACCAGCCAGCACCAGCTAGCTAGCTAGCACTGTGGTACTACAGCGAGTGTTTTCTGAATTGTCAATGGACGTGTCAACCAATTGAGTCGAAAGTCAACACTCGACCACTGGAATAAGAATAATTGGCAAAACCGTGCAAGCGCAAGATGATGAAGAAGATCGTGGGATCTTTTTCCTTACTTCCGACCTTGCGGTTTGCGGTCACTGGGAACTGGTACCATTACCAGTTTCGGTTCCGTACTACCTAGTAGTACCGGTACCGGTACTGTACTACTCTGAGTGCGACTGTACATTAGTGGTCGAATGAACGTTCCGGTCTTTTGAGGGGGGCTGCATTGGAGCAGTCCAGCTAGATCGATGAAATAGATTTAAAGAGGTCTTGTAGTTTTAGCCATTTAGGCCCCACCTTACAGCGTTATTTTAATAAAACACCGATGTTTGTGGAGTGGGTGTATCGTAGAGAACTGTTCGCATGCCACTCTGTACTGTACTGCACTGCACTGCACTGCACTGCACTACACTGCACTGCACTACACTGCACTGCACTGCACTGCAGTACTAGTAATGTTACGTTGAAGGGTCAGTAGGGTCACCGAATGGCTTGATGTGTGACTCTGGGTCAGTATGCCACCTCAAAGATTCGATTCGCCTTTTCCAATACCTAGCTCGATCGAAAATAGTTTTTGGCTGGAGTAAGCACATCCTCCTCCATGTTACCTACAGTGGCAACGTGGCAACCATGCTGGAGGTGGTCGATTTCGCCAGATGGTACATGTACGTGATTTCTTTTTCTGCAAGGTCACGATAACTAGGAGTTAGAAAAACTCTAACGGTACCAGAATTCCAGTCCAAAACGAGATGCTAGACTACCTAGTACTGAGTAACTAGTAAACCTCATCGTTACTGTACTGGTTGGGCCTTTGGCGCGCCTCCGTTTCCTACCACGGCTACAAGACGATGCCTGTGACTAGTGACTTAGAAAGGCTAGTGGTATTGTTGGGTCTTGGATACTTTGCAAATAAATAATCTGCAGGGCCAATCTTTTCCTATTGCATTTTGTAGAAAGTGTTCCATTCGGGTGGGGTCCTGGATATCAAACCTAGTGTACTGAGGCGATCAAGGATCTGGTGCGAGTGGGAATGGTGGAGTACTGGCTTCCTGTAGCGAGCCTCACTGTGCACTACACCACTAATCACAGTTCAAGGTTCAAGGGAAGTATACTGGTACCTTTTAACTCACCACTATGTCACTAGCTACTAGTAGTTGCAATTGAGTTCCCACTCTAATTCCTTAGTAGCGTCTTGGGCCAAGTCATTTGACATGACGCTGCAGAAACCAACACCAGTGGTATTACCTGGTAATAGTCTAGCAGGAGCTTGCCAGGTGGTTGGCGGTCATTCCGAGATTTTCGCTTGGGCCAGTCATTACTGGTTGTGCTGGGAGCATTGAATGGTCAGATGCCAGTAGGTTAGAACGTTCCCCGCGGTAAAACTTACAACAACGAGTAAAGCAACTAGTGAGAGGGTCACGTAATGTGGGATGTCTGTGTGCGATTATTAGTTGGGCTGGTGATCGAAGAAACATCAGGAACACTCCCTAGCTAGCCAGCCTACTCCGGAGCTCGAAATGCACCAACACAGACTACGTGCAGCTAGCTAGCGCCAACATTCACCAGGGCCCTGTTCGGAAACGCTCCCAAGGAGCTTTTCGGATGCTCTGCCAGATGACTAGGCTGGCCTGCTCGAAGACCCTCTGCCACAAAAGCCAACAAAACCGACCCAAGAAATCAAACAGTCCTTCTTCTCACTGTTTCTAAAATCGAAAATCGATAACACGAAACGGTCCTTAACGTTGAGCAAACACTTTGTAATCCAACCAACAACCTTACTACCAACCATGAAGTTCATCCCTCTTTTCTTTGGTGTGGCCGCGACCACAATCGCCCCCGCCTTCTCCTACAGCTTTCTCCGTGGAGACTCTGAGAAACATGACGTTGCCTCTTTGTTCGACGAGATTGAAGACTTGAAGAGTGAGTTCCAAGGACACCGCAACTTGGGAACTCCATTCGAGAATAGTTGCAATGCCCTACAAGTTGAGATTAATGGTTGTAAGAATGACATCGCCTGCTTGAAAGGCAAGCTCCCTGCCGCAAAAGAGAAGGTCAAGGCCAAGAGGAAGGAATGCAAGCCCAAGACCCAGGCTACCCGCCAAGCCCAGAAACAGTGGGTCAACAAAAGGGAAGCTTGCAAAAAGTTTAGTAACAAGACTACTTCCTTCGACATCGAATATGAGCGTTTAACCAAGGTGTGGAATGACCTCAAGGATGAAAGGAATCAATGTCAACAAAAGTGGAATGCTAAAAGGCAGGAAGCTAATAAGGCCCCCAAGAACAGCGAAAAACAAAAACAGCTTAAAAAACAACAAGGTGACCTGCTAAAGAAAAGGGATGATCTCACCACGAAACGAAACGATGCACAAAAAGCGCAACAGAACTACAAGAAGAATGTTAGAGACCCGAAATTCAAAGAATGCAGGGATAATAGGGATGATAATCAGAAGACTTTCGTTGCGAACAGAGAGGCGAGCAAACCGTGCGAAAGGGAACTCAGGAAAGCAGCCAACCTCAAGGAAAGACTGAAGACGAGGATCGCTAATAAGCAGGCGATTAGAAAGAGCAGGCGTGCGGCGAGGAGGAAGCGCAAACGCCAAAAGAATAGACGTAAGAAGAGCAAGGTGGAAGTTGAAAAGGAACTGGTTGCAGGGCAGTGTGTGGCCGATCATTACTGTGCTACAATCCGTGGAGACCCTCACATCACTACCTATGATGGCCTCAGGTAAGCCCACCCACAGTCGGTGTTCAGCCCTTTCAACGCTCACTTGGTTGACTAACGGCGTTCTTCTCCTTGCATATAGGTTTGATTGTCAAGGAGAAGGAGAGTTCGTTCTGGCAAAGACAATCGATTCCGACAATACCTTTGAGGTGCAGGGCCGCTTCAAGTCTACTGGAAAATCCAAGATGGTCACCATCACACAGGGTATCTCCATTACTACGGGCGTTGAAGGCGAACCTGACTTGGATGTCTACACGGAGGAGGTCGATGGGACTTGTGTTCTGATGTACTATGTCGATGGCAACGCAACTGACTTCTCCGAGCCTGTTCCAGGCATTTCCTTTGAGGACAGTGAAACTGACTACATCTTCTACACTGGTTCTGGTATCATGTACTCTGTGTCTGCCAAGGATGGGAAATTTGGCTGTGTCTTGAACTCCAAGCTGTGTCTGCCAAGATCGTTGGTTGACGATGAAGACATTGTTGGTCTTCTTGGTACTCCTGATGGCTCACCCGACAATGACTGGACCACTCCCTCTGGAGCTGAAAGAAACCAAGATGACATTGGAAAGCCCATGGGATATGCATACTGTACCACTGACTGGTGTGTTCGCAACGCGGAGGACTCTATCTTCGGTTACTTGGAGGGCACCTCGCATGCAGACTACTTCAACTGTGATGCTCCATATGACGCGGATGCTACTTCTGCGCTGGAGTTGGACCCTCCTGCGGAATGTGAGGAGTGCTGCACCGCGTTGAAGGCAACAGATCCTATCCAGTACAGTGAATGTCTTGAAGAATGTTCAAATGCCCCCACGGGAGAAGGTGTTGAACAATGTGTCATTGACATTGAAGATGCTGCGGCCCTTAAAGATTCAGAGAAGAAGTGCAAGGACCCCGTGATTCCTGATGAGACAGACAGGTCTGGTGGTGACACTTGTGCGACAGACACAAGGCCCTGTCCTGATGGAACTGTTCTTTCCCGTGTTGGGCCCAACTGTGTGTTCAAGGCATGCCCCGATGATGTGGACCCAACGGATGCAACCACTGAGAGAGCATTCACAAGGGGTGATCCTCACTTCAAGACTTTTGGATCAGAGCTCTATGACTTCCATGGAGAGTGTGATCTTGTCCTTCTCCACAATCCCGAGTTTAAAAGCGGCCTTGGAATGGATGTCCACATTCGTACCAAGATCACTGACTGGTGGTCCGCTGTTGAATCAGCAGCTGTGAAGATTGGCAAGGAGACGTTGGAAATCCAAGCCACGGAAGACTCTGACAGCTGGCTCTGGATCAATGGAAAGGTCAACGATGGCGATTTGGAGAGTGGCAAGTGGTACCGCTCAAGTATGGCCGGGTTCCTTGTCCGATACAGGCAGTCCAGTGGAAAGGTGGGGATTACTCGAGAAGCCAAGATCTACCTCGAGGGATCCAAGGAAGCATTGGAGCTGAAGACCTTCAAGAGCTTTGTCCGTGTTGACATTGCCTGGATGGGAAGTGAGAACTATTATGGATCTTCTGGTCTCCTTGGAAGCCATGAGCACAACGGCGCCCGCCTTGGTCGTGATGGTGTTGCTATTGACGATGTCAATGCCTTTGGTCAAGAATGGCAAGTTCGTGCTGACGAACCCCAGCTCTTCCACTCTTACGATGGGGCCATTGTTCCGCCCATGACATGCAAGATGCCGGATGAAAGCACCTCTAAGCAAGCCCTCAGGAAGCGCCGTCTTGCCGAGGGTATGCCCCGAGAAGAAGCCGAGGCTGCCTGCGACCACTTGGCTGACGAGGCCGAGAGGGACGCCTGTGTGTACGATGTGTTGGCTACTCAGGATCTTGGTCTTGCTGGTGCCTGGTAAGCGTGGCTGATTGCGACGTTGCTTAACGAATAGAATAAAAATTGTGAGAGATTATAAGAAAGCTTTGAACTCTTAATTTTGTGATTTTCTTGCGACCGGCAAGCTGAAGACTTTCAGGGGCCGTGCTGTTGTTGGCGTTGGCTTTGGATAGAAATACTGGCAAGCGAAAGGCAGAGAGATGGGCAGACGGACTGAAGTTGTGGACCCGAGAGCCACGAATATATCCGCCTCGCACCGTCGTTTGGATACTCGACCACGATTTGCAATGGTGCGACGACAGTTCGCTGTCAGTTCCCACCCATTTTCTACAAGATCCACACTTGAAGATTTACCGGTACTAGCTAGTACTCTTTGCCGGAGCCTATCGGACGCTCGAAATGAACAAGAACAAGGCCGTTCAGGACTGGATTCAAGGAGTCGGTGTTTCATCCAGTCGATCCTTGGTACAAACCACCATTACGCGCGTTGCCCTCAAGCCCTTGTCCGAACTCCATGTCCAGCACTTACTGACCGATCTACTCTTACAAACGGCATGTCAAACAAGCTGGTACACAAGCTACATCTGTTGGAAGCCGAGATGCCGACACTGCAACGAAAGCAAGTATCCGAGCAACCAGGTGTTTGGTGAGTGCTTTTGACAAGGCCATCCAGAATGCCATGAGAGGTCCGGCTACGTCCAAGATGATGCTGCGCTGGCAGCAGCCTTTGCCGCCCGTGCCGTCCGAGACCCTGTGAAACAAGAAGACTACGCCCTTTGGACACAAGACTCGTACAAGAAATGGGGCGCCGTGGGACTTGTGTTGCACCTGCAAGAGTCGAGTCTTCAGACCTTACCAAAGCGCCGCAAGTATTTGAAGGCGCACTTTGGAATCAAGAGTCGTCAAAGGTTTGACCGTGGCCTCATGAGGAGCCACCGACGACTTTCGCTGGAACCTGCCAGCTCCGAAACTAAACTAAGTGGTTGATGTTTTCAATTGTTGCCGTCCGGTATTTCCAAAAAAGTTTTTCTAGAAAGGGATTAGCTGGCTATTGAACCCCAAGAGACGATGTGCCATTCTCTGTCATGTCCTCTACAAAACAAAACGGTGCTTTCAGTCATACTTGTGTTTCTAAAGAGAATAATAGTCTCGCCTTGACTGCATGCTCAATCACTCTTTTTGTCACTGGACTTACTGTTGCTATTATTAGCACTATCTCCTGCTGACGGTCGCGGTTTTTCTTGATTGTTGTCGATCCGTTCTTGTGCACATTGCCGAATGATACGCCACCAATCGTTCAAGTAGAACAATGAAATCAATCGGAAGAGGCCTCCCAGCGATACCTGTGTGACGGCATCTACCAATGTGGATACAGGACTCATCCCGGCTGTTAATGCCGACAGCATCCATCCTTCCAGTGTAAAGTACACCAAAAATGCTGGATTGGGTGCCAATGCCGCCTTGACCATTTGATTGGCAATATCCTCTGGTTTGGACAATCCGGCGTCTTCACTGGTGAGTTTGGTTTCTTTGGGTTTGGTTTTTTCTTCTTCTTGAAAGCCAGGTGTATCCGTGTCGGGTGGAAAGGCGACCTGAATGTGAACCTGTGGATTGTCGGCCAATTCGGCGTGCAAGACTTCGGCAAATCCTCTCAAGGCAAATTTGGTAGGACTGTACGCCGTGTACCCGTACACCCCCACTTGTCCGGCGAGACTGGATGTCAAGACAATGACGGCATGTGTCATGTGTGGCAAGAAGGCTTGAACGGTAAAGATGGTCCCCAGTTGATTGACGTTGACGCAATGGGCAAACTTGTCGTGCGAAATGTGTTCAAAATACCCTGGATAGGCCATTCCCGCGCAGCAGAACAAGTAGTATTTCGTCTCTCCTCCTTGATGATCGCCAGTGCCAGCGAGTTCCTTGGCAACAGCTTGAACGGCGGGAGCATCGGACACATCGACGGATCGATAGGAAATAGTAGTCTTGGAACCAACACGTTGTTTGATATCTTCCAATTTTTGGACGGCAGCTTCCAATTTGGATTTGGTGCGTGCCATAATGGTGACTTGGGTCATGCCTCGTTGGACACAATCCTGTGCAATGGAAAATCCAATGCCGGTACTTCCACCACTGATAATGGCATGATCTTTGGTTGGTGAATTGGCAGTGTCCTTTTTTGATTGTGGTGCTTCCGACGACTGAAAGCAAAGTAGTGCCAAAGAAGGCAGAGACAACACGGCAATCAAAGGAGCCGTCACGATACTGACAAGCAGAGCTGGAATGGCAAAAATACCCGCTACGGCGATCTTTAGGAGACTCATTGTTTGCTTTTTTGATCTGACAAGAGGAAAAGAGATGGTGATACTAGTAGCTACCAGTAGTAGTGCACTTCTAAAATGGAACTTTGGACGAGGGAAGATGCGATCTTTCGTGGGTTCGGGTGAAGCCGCACAAATCAAAGCGTAGTTCTTCCGAATGCAAGTAAAACAGGTAAGCTGTGATAAAATCGTCCGGCAGGATCAAAATCTCAACCTGAGCCTCACTTTTAAATCCTCCTTCCGACAATCGACACCAACATGGAAACCACAAGGAATTCGGTGTTTTCGAACGGAAGATCATTGTCCCCGGTTGGAGCTGTTGCTCCACCCACCTCCAGCGACCAAACTCGTGACGACCGCTTCTCCCCCTCTGCTGGGTGACAACCGTTGTGCAAGTGGCCTTCGAAACATTGCTGCAGTACCCAGCGCAGGCAAGTTTGCGCGGTGAGTCCTCCTCATTGCTCATTACCGGTACCGTGCTCTGAAGAACAATCGACGAAGAAAACCACGCTGGTGGGGCTCCCGAGAAGGAACGAGGTGCATAAGAAGAGGAACGAGATGGAGACGAAAATGAAGCCACAAACCGCCGTCTGGTGGAAGATGCCAAGTCTCGACTCTTTCAAGAAAAAAGAGCTCTTACAGGAAGACATTAACCTTCGAGCTAGCTAGGTTAGCCATCACAACCTACCAGTACTGTAACTGCATCACGTCATCTCTGCTGCCCTGGTAATATATATCAATCGTACCTACTCCAGATTATCACAACAACAGCCCGTCGTCAAAGGAACAAAGCAGATTGCACCATCTAAGAACCCGGAGACGAACAGCATCCTTGCGTGCTGGTGGGGGCACAGCCAACCAGATATTCATATCCGGCCAGTTGGTTGCAACATTCCATAGTCACACTGGGATCCCAAGGCTGAACACAACCCTGATCAGCACAGTACTCGTAACCACCATCAGCAACACAAGTAGGAGTGGGAGACAATGTGGGTGGCTCTGTATGGGACTTGCAACATCCCTCTGTGCTGGTAGGGGCACAACCAAGCAAATATGCATATCCATCGATACTGTTGCAACATTCTGCATTCACGTTGGGTTCCCACGGCCGGACACAACCCTGGGAAGCACAGTAGACATATCCCGCTGTGGGATTACAGGAAGACGAAGAATCAATGAAAATGGAGCAATCTTCAAATGTAATCATGTCACTTCCATCTTCGAAAAAATCTTCCAGAGCAACCACATCGGCCTGGGAGTCACTTTGTTCCAGCACGTAGGTATAGGTCACTTTGCTATCATCGTCTTCTGTGGCACTAGTGTACATGGCATCGACCTGTACTGCCACCAAAGGGCCTTCAAACTCGTCCGTTTCGGAGTGAACAAAGGTGAATACGGCATTAGGTGGGCTGCTTGCGAAAATATCATCGAAACTTTCGAAGAACTCCATCGTAGTGTACGTCTCCTCAATCCTGAAGGGACGATCACTGAATTGGTAGGTTTCATCATCCATATCATCTGTCCTCAATTCATAGCTGCCATCCAGTTTATGAAGAGTACAAGAATTCGCCATTTGAGTGTACAGGTAGCTGGGATCACTTCCATCTCCATCGCCGCATGACGAGAGTGCATCAAGGCAAGATACCAAGTCGTCCTCGCATGTTTCGTCTTCATCCATGCCAGCCAAATGGCGGCGGAGATGACCATTGGAAGACGACTTTCCATTCTGTTCCTTTGTGGAAATTGGCTGTACCTGATGCTTCTGAAAGGTTGCGATCGCTTCATTCACATTTCGATGAAATGCGGATGCTGCCTTGACGTTGAGCTTGCCACCACTAGCTGAAGCAGATGGAGCACCAAAAGCAAGGCTTACCACCATCAGGAAGAAGGCGTTCATCATGTTGTTTAGAAAGATATTTCTGCAGTGCCAAGAGCATAAATAGCAGCGTGCCAAAGGAAATGAATGACCCAAGGAAAGGAGCAACAATCATGCTGTGAGTTTAAAAGCAGGCTAAACAAAAACTTGACACAAAGACGACATCGACAACAGAGCAAGGCAAAACAAGGTATTCACAACACAAGACAAGACATCTCCACACAAAGTTCCTTGCCTCGGAAGCTTTCGTCGAAGTAATCTTCAGATGGAATGAAAACAAAATAAATGAGAAAGATATCAGATTATGCTTGACAATTTTTAACTTGCTTGTTGAGAAAATGTCCCAACGAAAGATACGGTTGTACGTTTGCCACCACGCACCAGTAAATTGACAGGTAGTTGCGGTAACCATTTGCATATATCACTCAAAGATTTAAATTGAAGTGAAAATATTCCCATACCTACCTGAAACTCAAAGCTGTCTTCCAGCACGTTAATACCAGTATACCGACCAGTACCGTAAGCCAGCAAGGATCGGCATAAATCTTGGTGCCTGTGCAGTAAAATTTACTTGCGCATTCCTCCACAACGGTACAACGGTACTTTTACGGTAGCTGGCTACAGTACTAGTACCAGTACATTCCTTCCTTGATATTAAGATGTCTCTAAGTTTACCTGAACCCTGAAGGCATCTTCTAAAGCAAAAACTCAAATATCTGCACTGAGAATCTTCTTAGCATTTTGTTAAAATTCAGGGTCCAAAGGCAACATCTTAGTTTTCTTGCCATTTCTATTGACCATACTCTAGAGTAGTATGGTACATACCAACATGGCTACTCTGCTTCCCACCTTACTGAATATACCCTGAGGAGACGAGAGGAAAGAGCAGTGTATCATCCGCCCGAGGCGAAATTTTTGACTTTTGGCCCCCTTTTTTAAGGCATTTTGTTGTAGAAAAGTGTCATTGTATCATCTCTCAATCTCGTACCGGTATGTGCCCAAGGGAGAGTGCTTACCGGCTATCTTAGCTCTAGTGCAGATCTGAGTGTCTCAAGTATCTTAACATTCCAGCAAATCTCAGCACTGGACATCTTATCTCGGACTTGTTTTTAAAGGGAGGGAGGAGTGTACATGTGGCTGCGCTTGGTCATTCGTACACTGCTTTCGATGACTGGTGGGAGTACCTACCGCTACAGCAGATTCGAACGATTCAACATTCGGTGCAAAGTTCAAGATCGATGACCAAATAATGACTGTAGCGGCTGGATCGGAATTTTCATCTGAGGTGCAGTTTGAAATGTGACTGACTTGACTTGTCCCAAGAGCATGAGTCGAATGAATCGAATGCCGTTCGCCAAGCATGACCGAGCCTCGATTGGAAACAAACGCTCAAATGCTGGACAGCTACACAGCATTGGGTCCTCATTGTTATTCAATGTGCCGTCATTTTGTGCCGCATCAGCGGAATAATCGGAGCAATTACATTCACAATGCCCTACATTTTCCTCACAATGGTTATGGATATTGCATACGCCATTTTTTGTGGACTGAACAAGAATTGGGCCGGTCTAGCTAGCTGGATCTATTTTCTTGCTATCCTCAAAGTTTCTTGTGCCGTGAGCTTGCCCGAGGAATAAAGACAAAGGAGAACTACAGGAGCCAAGAACGCCAATCCTGCTGCTGTGTATGAACAACGAGCAGGCAACAGCCCCGTTGAAATTACAGGCATTGATGATAGATAATAGATACCAGATGATTTCCTTCCTTTCCTCCCCCTTCTGGATAACCGATAGTGCTCCTTCCGAACCCCCTGATGGGATACATGGTCCCTCCTGGACTCGCTAAACTGACAGCAGACGAACGCAGCCACATCGTAGCTTCAGTAGCCAACAAGGTACTCGGGTAGGTCCTGTGCAACCAGCCGCAAGCCCGCAGCACAGGCCCTGCTGGTAAGGAAACCCTGGCTGGGATAAACTGAACTGTTCGACTCCAATTTGCAAAATGACTGGTTGATTTGCTTCCTGCTTTGGATGCATGACGGCTTTGGCAAGTTCGTCGTTCGCTTTGCCAGCCAGCCACTCAACCGCCATCAAGCGAGATCAGACGAAACACTCGGATAGAAACACTCGGATAGAAGACTTGGCGCCCTACCAGTAAGAGCCAGTTGGCAGCAAGCTGCACACCAGACATCTGACTGCACCACGGTCCGAACCAGGACCAAGAAGATGCGCCTAGCCAGCCGGCAATGTGAGCCCCCTTCAACTGCGTTGCTCTGAAAACCAGGCTTCAGAACCAGCCACTGCCAAGCAATCCCAGTCCTCACGATGAACAAGTGCATGAATCAGCCTGGCCCAACCATCTGGTATAGCGCCCAAAAGATACCTCTCGGTTGAATGACCAATTGGCTGGATATACAGGATACCAGAGTAAACTACCTCTTCCCTCCGAGTGGATGATGGACTAAGACGGCCACCCTGTTGCTGGCCGAGAAGACCAACCAGTTTTCATTTGTATTATCTCGTTGGTACTGGGATAATAATATCTTGTGTTAATCGATGCCTTGGGTTATCCGAGCTCAAGAAGCCACCAAGAAGTTGGAACTCAGCGCCCGTTCGTCCTGTAGTCTGATGACAGCAAACTGGTCAAGCCAGGTATCGGTAAGGCTGTCACTCTTTGCTGGCTATGATTTTGGGCGAGGCTTGCGGGCCTGATTGGCTTTCTAGTTTGTCCTGCATCTCTTGAAACTATACCAGATGTTTGCTGGCCTCCAAGCAAAGCAAATTCCTTGCCAGATATTTTTGGTTGTAAAGTGTGAGATGGTCTCTCTCACCCCCCGGTGGGTTTCTCCTTCTGTTTAGAAGCACTGGCACTCGAAGACAACCAGTGGCTAATAGAAAACCAGCTACCAGTGACTGGGACACAAGCCTCGTGGATCCTTCTTCTTCCTCTTGATGCCCCTGGGATCTCGGATAGCTCTTCACGTCTTGCGCCCAAAGGTACACTACGATAATCCAACAGGCAACCAGATCCAAAAGGTCATTGAGATTGGATTTGGAGGATCTGGTAGATGTTTACCTGAGGTTTACAGTGTACCAAAGTTTTCTACCAGATTGTTGGAGGCAGCCGGCAGGCTTCTTCGCCCTCTCACGAAATGGCTCAGCATTTCTCGCTCCCTGTTGCTTCTCTCATTATTTTGACTTTGAGCCACAGACAAAGCCGCAGATTTCTTCCTTGTTTCGCCAAAACGTATATTCATCCCATCATGAACACTGATAACGACGTCGTTTCCCTTACCAACCTCCCAGCCCAGCGCTGTGTGTCCGTAGTTTCCTCTCAAGGAAGTGGCAGCTCCGACAACTCTGTGTGCTCTGGTGCCGACACTACTACTGAAAGTCCCTTTATGACATTGGTGGATGCTGCTACCTCCATCCTGGACCGAAAAGCAATCGCCGTCGAAGCCGCCAAGGCTGCGGCTCCTGTTTCTCCCTCCTCTCCCAAGATTCCTTTAGCCGTAGAAGTCAAGTCTCCCGCCAGTCCTACAAGTGCCAGAGCAGCGCCCAAGGGCAAGGATGATTGCAACAAGAAGCAAACCTTTGCCGAGCTGTTGATGACTGTGCTGGAAGATCCGGCTCACCAAGATATTATGACGTGGATGCCTGATGGAAAAGCCTTTACCATTAGGAACCACAAGAGGTTCACAATGGAGTTGATGCCCAAACTGTTCAACATTCGCAACATGTCTTCCTTTGTGCGAAAGTTGGGCCGATGGGGATTCCAACGAGTGCACGAGAAGGAAACTCGCAACTCGGACATCTTCAAGCACAAGAACTTTCAGCAAGGCAACTGGGAGCTCTGTAAGAGCGTCAAGTGCGTGGGACGTCTTTTCGGAGCAAGCAACAAGGCGTCTCCTGCATCTCCCAGCAAGAACGTCATTGACCTGGTCAACAACACTCCTGGACGTGTTCCTCTTCCATCTCCAGCTACGCGATCGCCTAGCATGGTTTCCAGGATTCCAAGTCCTCCAATGCTCGTCACGCCTCCTACTGGTGACAAGGCTCTGCTACGCTTGGAACACGCCCGCCGCTGGTCGGCTCACACTCGAACTTCAATTTTCCGAGGTGGCAAGGAACTCGACAGCATGACCAACGAAGTTGTGGAAGCAGCCATCGAGACGTTGCGTCGTGATGAAGAAACCTTGCGTGGTGCCAGTTCTTCTGGTAATGCCAGCGGCGACGATGACGACGAAGAAGAAACTGTGATTGTCGCCATGCCCAAAAAGTACCTCCAATCTCGCCGTGCCCCTCCTGGAATGCGCGTCTTGTCTTCCCGCAACGGCAGCTTTACATACCATCCCTATGATGCCCGACGATCATCATATCATCAACAGCAGAGAGCTCGAGGACCACGATCGTCGTTAGTCATGACTCGTCCCGTGCAACTCAACACTCGCCCAACCCAAAGCGGTGCTGGACCAGCCCCCGCCGGTCCAACCACTGCTGCCCCCGCCATGATGATGGCGCCATATGGTGGAAGACCTGTGCCCCAGGAATGGGCCATAAGCCGTAGCACCAGCTACCCTTCGCCTTCGCACTACCGATGATTCGACGGTCAGAAGAAGAAGGGGTGCTTCAGCTAGAATAATACTTCATAAAAAAGAACGTGGTAATAAGCTCATTAAAATCTATTACTCTATAGCTATGCGTGAATGGAAGCGCCATGGTTTTACCCAGATCATTGGGACGAAGGGCACGAAAGCATTCCTCGACCAGTTTGTTTTGTCAAGTGCCTTCTGCTATCTGACCGGAGCCCTTTCACAGGCGACAAGCGAGCGAGACCAATGCGAACTTGGCTGCAAACAACTCCACTGCCGGTAGTGGTCTAGCTAGTGATGACGACTTGCATGGCCAAACCTCTCGCTCCATGCAAATTCCACGAGGGCCGATGGCACCACCGCTTGTTCAAGCCCTGGAGCTACCCGACTGACCGCCCAAGAAGCAAGGTCCAGGCTGGTTTCGGTTAGCTAGGCGAAGATGCATTTCCTTTCCTATTTCGTGACTTGGAAAACTCGCGTCGCCTGTCTCTGGTGCAGGGTAGCTACATTGTATCTTTTTGACCACGTAGACGACCACACCAGATGCATGTCTCGATAATCTGCCGGTAGTCAACATTTAGCACAGGTCATTTGATGTTTGAGCAAGGAGGAACTGGGATGACTCAAGGATCTCATCATCTCATCACATGGGCTCCAGAATGGTACCGGATGCTGACGGCGAAGATTGCAAAGATCCTCGAGCATGCTACGAGGCGGCATAAGCCATCAAAAGCTGTTTAATAAATCTAAAGTTGGATAAGGACGGTATCTTTGACCAATGTGCATTACAAACAGCTTCAAAATGAGACTGGCAGGAGAGCGATGGCAGTACCATCCAGCACCAATAGCAACTCCCCACTTCGAGGAATCCTAAGGAGGATTAGCAGTCGTCCATCGCCACAATCGAAACAACCGATCTTTGCCGTCGTTGCCATTCTGGTTTTCCTCGTAATCCTGGTCCATCTGCCACTGAACGAGTCTTCTATCTATCATCAAATGATCCGACAAGGTTCTTCCTCGAATGCCAAGGCGTTCTCTCTCTTGGTGACGCTGCAATTTCAAGATGACTCTGCCAAGAAGGAATTTTTGGAAATTGCTCGACCCATGATGGACTATGTGTACAAGAATGAACCCACCACTCTGGGCTATGAACTGCTGTTTTCGGATAAAGACCCTTTACAAGTGCTCTTTCTGGAACGTTATGTGGACAAGGACGAAGCTTACCTAAAAATTCACAAGTCGAGTGCGGCCTTTTTGACCTTTCGACCCAAGCTACAGGCCCTGCAACAAGCAGGTCGAGTGACCATGTCAGGTAACTCGTATGAAGACTCTGGTTTCGGGTTTATGGGACGTACCAGCAGTTAGTTTTTTGTTGTTGGTGCATGCATGTAGCTCAGAGGGAAGTTATAGCTAACATCGGTATCAGGAATCTACAATTCACACGAGGAATATTTCCTAATACTAGCCTACTTACAAGTGGGCCATCAAAAACTGAAACATTAGCTAAAGGCACTGCCTCCTACCGTACCAATTTGCTTCGGGCACCAGAACTCTCCATTGGAGTTTGCTCAGTTTTAAAAATATTCTGGTGAATATTGAGAAACGAGTCTGATATTAGTAGCAGAACGGCAAAGATCAGCAGAACCCAGACTGAGCTCTACATACACTACAAGGACGTCAAACTGGAGTACCATGAAGGTTTCTTGGCATTACGAAGGATGACGCGTATACATGTAGCCGAGCTGACTAAGTTAGACTTGTACTTGCTATTGTCGTGCTTTTAATTTGTTGTAGATTGACCAATTTAGGTGATAGAAAGTCTGATGCATAACTTGCTAGCTGGCTGTGAGGGATAAAATTCATTGAAGGATCGTCCTTTTGCACTCTTTTACGAGTGTCATTTTCAAGCATTGCCCAAGCAAGGAGTGCCTAGCTAGGGCCATACCGTCATTACGGGACAAAAACCTCCTTTGAATCAAATTTCACCAAAACCAATGCCCTCTTTGCTCATTTTTCTCTCCATACCGAGCATCGATCACACTCTGACTAATCGATATTCAATTGGTTTTATTAAGCTCATCGGCTTTCCATTTTCAAGGCGGATGCTTCGTGACTCTTGGACGATCGGAATACACCATCCCCTCCTTGTGGTTTATTGTAGCTGCAACTACCACCGGAGCAACTCTTGACGGCCGGTTTGCTGTCGCAACCACAGACACGAGCCACGCCCGTCGCCACACAATTGATGGCGTCCATTATCAATCAAAAACACATGGTTTGTTGTTTATTGTTGTTGTTGTTCAAGAAGGAAGGGTATCAGATAAATGGCTCTTTGCTGGTGGTTTGCTATCACACACGATCAAAGCTGCCCGAGTGTAATCGACAACACAATAGCAACTGAATGGGAGGCCTTCTCCAGCAAAGGTTTCCCCGCTTCTTTCCGTCCTCCAACCTGTGTGTCATCGTGGTCTATCATCCACGTCACAAATCCACGCTTTGCTTTTTCCACGTTTTGCTGGACTCTCTGTAAAAGAACCAGCCATATCGTCCACCACGATACTACAGATCCCCGAACAACTGGCCAAAAACCCATCAACCCCTTTTTTTCCCTCTCGATTACAAAAAAAAACTTGTTCCTGTAATATTTGTGTAGAATACATACTAGTAAGAACGTTGATCAGATCACAGAAAATCAAAAAGTTGCCAAATGTACGGTAAATGAAGAGGCACGAATGGAAAAAAAGCTGTCTGGATCCGCGTAGGAATTTGTACTGCGTCTACACAGAACAAGTTTTTTTTTGTAAACGTGGGTTTTTGGCCAGTTGTTCGGGGATCTGTAGTAAGTGCGTCCCCTCATTTTCAAGATGCAAGAATGATGCCAGTATCATGCAATCAATTGTTGTCCTGTGGGCTGCAGGTGTTGCTGTTAAATTGGTTGCCGGAGTTAGAAATTCGATCTCCATGTTTGTAGCTACATGCAGCTAGTCTTTTTATTAATTGTCAGTACCAGCTAGCTAGTATAACATGTATCAATAGTCATTGTCTTCTCAAAGCTTCGCTCAAAGTTTCGATTGAAGATTCAATCATTCACAAATGTGGCCCGACCGCGCCTTTTGGAATTTTGGCACCTGCATCAGTCATGTCAGAGAATCCAATCATATGGTCTCAACTTTACAATTGCTACAACATGTATCTACTAGCTATTAATTCATAGCTAGCTAGCTAGCTGGTAGAGAAATACAGTGCACTGTATCAGGCAATGGCAACTTGAAGGTCAGAGAGCTGATACTCAACAGATCCCAGTTTGATTCGATTGATTCTCTTATGCACGAGTTTGGATCCTTCCAGAAACAAAGATCTTGAGCTGCGATGGCAACTGATGCTCTTTTACACTCAAAATGACATACCGTATACCGTACGTGCCAAAACCTGCCGTGTCGCAGTGACTGAAACTCCTGTAAACGTCCTGCAGAGTGTCGGCTCAGTACATACATGTAATAATTCAATAATTCTTCTGCACTGTACTGCACTGCGACTTCCATAAATAATGGCTAACCCAAGTGTGGCAAAGTAAGTGACCCAAGCCACCTCGTCGCCGGTATTGGTCGAGAGTCGAGAACTAGCAGTATCCCACCATTTCAGCTCCCTTCCAGCGGTAATGTGTTGAACAGGGCTGTCATCGATCGTCGACCCAAGTATTTCATATCTTGGCTGCTACATCGAAGATAAACGTAACACTCCTGGCGTCTTTTCTCAAGAGAGGACATCGGCTTGAAAAGAGTTCATCGAAGATTGCAACCGTCGAATCGAAAATATTCCTTCAGCAGGTATCCCTTTTTTTCTTGGATATTATTGCGGTAGCATGAACGACCCGAAACCAAACCGAGAGAAAGACGGGGTGTTGGCTTCCTTGGACGAGGAGAACGCGTCTGGAAGCCATGACATCAATCGACAAAACGGCGGTTCTGTTGAACAAGACGATCTCGTGAATGTGGAACAGAACGGGGATCCAACGAAATTGAGCTCACCCGGGGTATACGGCGTTGGTCCCGGTGCCGTCAGTGTCGGGCCTTCGTCTGTCACATCATCATCCAACAATAGGCAAGCACAACAGCTTAGTCAGATGGAGCAGGATGTGGCAGTGAAACAGGCTGCAAAAAATAGCATGCCCAGTCTTCCTGGCGCATACCCAGCGGGACCTGGATCAGTGGTGTCCTCATCAAGTATCAGACAAGTACAGCAACTAGGTCAAATGGAGCAGGATGTGGCTGTCAAACAGGCCGCCAAAAATGAAATGCCAAGCCTTCCTGGAGCTTACCAAGCGGGACCTGGATCAGTGGTCTCTTCGTCCACCAGCAAGCAAGCTCAGCAGCTCTCGCAAATGGAGCAGGATCTAGCAGTGAAACGGGCTGCAAAAAATAGTATGCCCAGTCTTCCAGGTGCATACGCAGCGGGACCTGGATCAGTGGTGTCCTCATCAAGTAACAAACAAGCACAGCAACTTGGTCAAATGGGGCAGGATGTGGCAGTCAAACAGGCTGCAAAGACCCCAATGGCAAGCGGTCCTGGGTCTTACTCGGTGGGGCCCGGATCAATGGCCTCCCTGTCCAGTAGCACACAAGTGCAGCAGTTGTCCCAAATGGAGCAGGATGTGGCGGTGAAGCAGGCAGCAAAGAGCCCAATGGCAAGCGGTCCTGGGTCTTTCTCTGTGGGGCCCGGATCAATGGCCTCCTTGTCCAGTAGCACACAAATACAGCAGTTGTCTCAAATGGAACAGGATGTGGCGGTCAAACAGGCAGCAAAGAGCCCAATGGCAATTGGTCCTGGGTCTTACTCGGTGGGGCCCGGATCAATGGCCTCCTTGTCCAGTAGCACACAAGTGCAGCAGTTGTCCCAAATGGAGCAGGATGTGGCGGTGAAGCAGGCGGCAAAGACCCCAATGGCAAGCGGTCCTGGGTCTTACTCAGTGGGGCCCGGATCAATGGCCTCCTTGTCCAGTAGCACACGAGTACAGCAGTTGTCCCAAATGGAACAGGATGTGGCGGTCAAACAGGCTGCAAAGACCCCAATGGCAAGTGGTCCTGGGGTTTACTCGGTCGTAACCGGATCAATGGCCTCCTCTTTGAGTAGCAGGCAAGTGCAACAATTGTCCCAAATGGAGCAGGAAGTGGCAGTGAAGCAGGCAGCAAAAAAAGCATTTGTTGGCAGCCCTGGAACAGAAGAGGATTTGTTAGTGAAACAGGGGGCAAGTGCTGGTTCATGGAGTACTGGTGCTGGTATTGGCCCCAGTAGTAAACAGGTGGCTGAAGCGGAGCAGGCCGCAGCAGCAAAGGAAAGGAATGCATACCCTTCACAGAGTCTTGCCAGATTGAGTACGGACGAAAACATGCGGATGGGAAATAATGCCCACATCAAGAAAAACTCGGACTTCGTGGAACCTATGCCACAACTGGACCCTCTTCCAGTTGTGCCAACCCAGAACTCCAATCGCAACTACGGGGCCCCGCTCACGTCGCCGACGACGGTACCGGGGCCGATGGAGATATCCAGAAGAACAGACCACGAAGAAAAAATTGAGCATACTTCGACTATGGATTTGGCGGTTGCCATGCCTGTCATGGAGGATGAGGAGTCAGAGCTACCACGGCAAATTGCTACTCCAGACGACAAACCCGCCTTTCAGCCACAGAAAAAATTCCCGATTTTCTATGTTTCCGCTGGTATCATTATTTTTGTGCTGGTCATCACAATTGGATCCATTTGTGGGAGTGGTCACTGCGCGAGCGGTGGTGACAGTGAAGCAATGGAATCTGCAACTGCCAGAGATGCGCTGAGGCAAGACTTCCAGCTGCGAATAACAGCTGGGTTAGGTTATGTGCATTCTGGCTTGGATAACGAGAATTCGGCCTATGAGAATGCCCTGGATTGGGTGTTAAACTTTGATCCACAGCAATTGGATCCTGATGCAGACAACTTGTTGCAACGGTTTATCTTGTCCCTTCTCTACTACGAGACAACAGCAAGGAAACCCTGGTATTCCTGCAACCCACCGCTTGGTGCACAGGAAGACACCTGCAAATTTTTCATTGATGGATCCCAGGAACAGTGGGGTATTCGATGGCTCACTGACTCTCCTGAGTGTCAGTGGGGGGGCGTAAAGTGTGAATCGGGGGTCGTTACTTCGATCCGATTGAGTAAGTCGAATCTGTGTGCTTGCGTGTCGTCATGCTGGATACAACTTGTGCGTGGCTGAAGTGCTCGTTGTTGCACGAAACTACAAATGTAGCTTCCCACGAAATGAATGGTCAACTGCCAGCTGAGCTGGGCATGCTTCCAAAGGTAGGGTGTCGACTGGGTCTTGAACGAAGGTCTTTCCCATTCCATTTACTCAAATCATATGACCTTACCTCTCAACGAACTCGCAGCTGTCCAAGCTAGATCTCTCCACTAACGAGTTGACGGGGACGTAAGTTTGGTTGACAGATACAGCACGTTCGAAATTTCTGACAGCACTGACGTCGCCCTCGCCTCGTTTCATGACAATGGAAGTATTCCGTCCAGTCTCATGGTACCCGACCTGGATCTAGGAGTCAATCAGTTCGCAGGGACGATTCCGGCCGAAATCTTCACTAAGTAAGTGGTTGCCACAGTGGGCTCCGGCCAGTAGACCGTTCTATTTTACTGACTTCCTTTCGCAGCCCTAGTCTCGGGCGTCTTTTTCTTTCAAACAATACATTGACCGGGACGCTGCCCACAGAGGTTGGGCTTGCATCAGATCTCGTTTCGTTGAATCTACGATTCAATCGGTTGTCGGGTATCTTGCCCAATCAGCTGTTTGGCCTTTCAAACATGCAGTTCATGAACCTGGCAGCAAATCAGGTCAGTCGCCCTCGCTGCATTTTGATGAGTTTGGAGTTGTTGGAGTTCATAAGCTTAACGTTTCCGATCTCTCTACTGCCACGTTTGCTCAATCAGTTCACAGGTACACTTTCTGAAGCAGTTGGGGGTCTTGTGAATTTGACGTATTTCAATTTCGGTCACACTTTGGTGGGCGGACGCTTGCCCTCCGAGCTGGGAAAACTAGAATTTCTTAGGGTATGTGGGCTGGTATCAGTTGCTTTATTCGCACGCTCAGAAGCTAAAGCAATATCTTGTTTTCTCTCCCAGGAACTACATATTCAGAACACTTTCATAAGTGGCACAATTCCGGAAGAGGTTTACAAGGGGTCCAGCGAAATCATAGCTTTCAACTTTGAAGATTGCAATCTCTCTGGAACGATCAGCACCAGTGTTGGACTGCTCACTAATTTGCAAAGGCTGTTGCTAGCAAACAACAACTTGTCAGGAACGATTCCTGAGGAATTGACCGCTTCAACCAAGCTGTCCAAGTTCACGGTAAACGGGAACCAGCTATCCGGCTCGTTTCCATCAGGACTTTGTTCCAATTTGTTTGCATCTAATGACAACCACTTTGCAGCGGACTGTGAGCCCGAAAAGGGCACAGGGATTGCAGCCATGCCTTGCCTCTGCTGCACAGAATGTTGTGAGGCATCAACTGGTATCTGCAGCGAAGTATAGGTTTAATGCTTCCACAGACTCCACGTAGTGGTTAGAGAATGAAATGAATTAGAGCGAGACTAAGCCTTCACCACGACCTTAGCCGTTCATTGGTTGTAGTCGACTACTAGTAAGAGGTTAGTTAGGTGGCTGTAGGCTGTTTCAAGTTTGGGATTCGATTCGATTCGAATCAATCATTCTTCGGCACCACTTTCGGAGAATCTGGGCTTTGGCTCCATTCGTTCCAACTGCCATCGAACATGACCGTCTTGCCCGTGCGGCCGCACTCTTGCAATGCCAAGTAGACATGGCACACACTGACACCAGAGCCGCAGGAACACGCAATGGGTGTGTCGCCTTGAACATCGACGCCGGCATCTTGAAAGAGAGTTTCCAATTCTTCTTTGCTTTTCAATTTGAGTGGATTGTCTTCTTGTACGAGGCTGCTGTAGGGCAAATGAATCGCTCCCGGAATGTATCCCTTGGCGAAACTGCTTCCTCTGGGATCGATGATTGTGGTTTGCTGTTCCTCCTGAAGATTGTCGTTGACGATGGTTAGCATTTCATCCATGCCAATGACATTGTCTGGCTTGTTTTTGGCAACCTGATAGCTGGTCTTTCCACTCGAAGACAGGGATTCCAAAATATCCTTGGCTCGTGGCACCCTCGTGGGTTCTTTGTCAACGGGTCCTCCCGCTTGAACCCAATCTTCCAAGGATCCTTGCATCAGTTGGACACTATCGTGACCCATGGATCGGAAGAGAAACCAAGTACGTGGTGTGAAGATACTACCCTCCTTGGCATATACAATAATCTAAAAAATGACGCATTGTGAGGCATACACGAAAAGCTGCAAGCTCGAACAGGATGACAGTGTACCGGTAGCAGCAAGCCTCAACTCAACTCACCCGATCTGAATTCTTGATTTGAAATTCATCCATGGTAGCAGCAAACAGATCCTGAAAAAGAACAACATTCGAAGAAGTAGCAAAAAAGGAAAGACTGCTATCAGTAACTGCTTCGTTGTCCAGTATTAGTCGATGGACGCATACGTACTGTTGGTGGCAGCATATGATACAAGCCCAGTGGATTCCTATCTGGATAGAGATCTTTCGAAGTACTGATATCATCCATATCCATGTGTCTGGCTCCAGGGATCCTTGGGCCTGCCTCGAACCTAGCTAGCAGATACACCAGCAAGGTCAGCAGCGTTACAAACATGGGCTTGCGCAGTCAAGAAAATTTGCCGCAAGCACATTTATTTTTGCTCTGACTTACTCGTCTCTTCCATTACGACCACCCTTGTGGTACCATGATGCATCCACAAAGACAATGCCATCATCTTCCTTCTCTTTGTAGAGCTGGAGACAGTCTTCCACGGACAAAAGATTTTGGCTGCTCGTAGCACTCGAAGTGCTGTAACGGCAACTCTTCGACTTTAGCGTAGCGGCTCTGAGCAAAACGTGTCGCGAGAGAGGAGGAGAAGCCCAAGCCCGGACAAGGGTTGTCCGCACGGCCATCGTGCTGACCATTATCATCATTGCTATTATCAGGGATGAGCCGCGAGAGCAAAGCATGGTCCTTTGATTCTTCTATGCTGATTTGTAAAAAATTGCTCGGAAGGATTAGGGCAGGAAGGTTCGGTCTGAGGCCAACCTCTAGAGAGATCTTTTGACGCACCGTTGGCCATCAAAAGATCACGAGTGAGTGCTTTACTCAAAGCAGCTCTCAGAGCCCAGTCAGTGCTTCACTCGATGCTTTACTGATGAGGCTGTCATTGGCGGTCCATTAAAACAAACAAAGCTTCGAAGTGGTGTTACTACTACTACAGTAGTCCTAGCTACCAAGAACTGCAAGTAGTGTACTATTACTCTCTCTTGAAGCATAGCAGGGATCGAAGAAGGCTACTGGTACAGGATGAGTAACCGAGGACTGGTGATGGAAGCTGTGTCAGGATCGGTGAAAACAAAGTTGGAAGTGGTTGTATGGTACCCTGTATCAGAAGAATGTGCAACAGGAGTAGTCAGTCAACAGTGGAGCTACAAGAGGACTACCACATGAACCAATACCATTCTCAGTGAATTCAGTACAAGAAGAGACCAATAATGGCATCCAAGAACCACAAGAACGTTCACCGAGCAGCATCAACACCATCTCCCAAAGCGTCACCACCGTCAAAATTCTCAGCATGAAAAAGCACCAAGGAACGAAGTACCACCTGTCATGCTCCGTGATCATGACAAAAGGGCTGGGAATCGTACCAATGGTGCTTCCACCAAACGGCTTCATACGCAAAGAGATACAGCAACTGCCTGATAGAATTAATCATGTGGTCAAGAATCGGCTGGAAGCAAGTTACTCATCACAATGCCCACTGCTTGATTCGAGAATGCACTGGAAATTATACCTCTCTACAACAATAGCAACAGGAAATCCAACTCAGCAAAAATGAGGGCCAGCACCTCTCTGGTATGGTACCAGTAGTAGGGTGGCCGTAGCTGTTGTCCCAGCCCGTAGCTGTAGCTGTGATGCCAGCTTGTTGTAGCTGTTGTCCCAGCCTGGAGCTGTTGTCCCAGCCTGTAGTGGTTGTCCCAGCCTGGAGCTGTTATCCCAGCCTGTAGATATAGCTGTTGTCCCAGCTTGTAGCTGTTGTCCCAGCCTGAAGCTGTAGCTGTTGTCCCAGCCTGAAGCGTGTTGTCCCAGCCTGAGCTTAGCTGTTGTCCCAGCCTGAAGTGGTTTCCCAGCTGCGTTCACGAAGCCTGTAGTGTTGTCCCAGCCTGAATTGGTTATCCCAGCCTGGAGCTGGAGCTGTTGTCCCAGCCTGAAGCTGGAGCTGTTGTCCCAGCCTGAAGCGTTGTCCCAGCCTGAGTGTTATCCCAGCCTGAGCTGGAGCTGTTGTCCCAGCCTGAAGCGGTGTCCCAGCCTGAAGCGTTGTCCCAGCCGAACGGTTGTCCCAGCCCGACGGTTGTCCCAGCCGAAGTGGTTGTCCCAGCCTGAAGCAGTTGTCCCAGCCGTATGTTCTACACCAATTGCTACACTTGGTCAAATCCTCTACAACTGTACATGCACAACCAGCTTGCCAAATAATCGTAGATTCCACCGTAATCCTCTGTAAGGCATTCCTAGGAGTTCATTGAAGTTTTGTAAAATGTCTTACTAGCTTTTTATGATCGGGTTAAATCATCTAGCTCTTGTACTTCAAACCATAACCAGAATGATGGTTTAAAGTAGTGAAAGGATTTCCTATGAACAATCCTTACTAATTTACTAGTGCATGCTTTAACACACCAACAAAGGACACTTCAAGAAGGCCTCTTAATTGCAGAATCAGCTTTTGTACTTTTTGCCCCTATTCAAAAGAGCCAAAGTAAATTGCACGAGCCACCCCCAGACCCCTTCTATGTTTAAATCGTGAGGTGACCTCACGAATGGAACCAATTAATTACAGTCAGAGAGAGAAAGATCCACCCGTGTCCTCACAGACTGAAAAAATGAGTGTTGAGGTTATTAATAGGGTTTTCAGAGCCTTACATGTACCCAACGGGCGCAAAATCAAAGCCATCAATCAACCGCCGTTCATCAGCCGTCCAGTGTCGGAACAGTAGGCGATGCAAAGATGATCATGCCACTCAAATACCTATTGCTTCTGACAGTAACTCTTTCCTTGTGGTGGTCCACAAATGCGTTTCTACCAACACCATCTAGCAGTAGAAGGATCCGGTCGACATCCTGCACTTGCTTGCGGGCATTGGGAGACTTCACCGTGGAACTAGCCAAGCCATTGGGACTCATTCTGGAAGAACGGGACGCAGGTGGCGTCTACGTCAACGAAGTGGCACCTGGTGGCTCTGCTGCCGCTCACAGCAGCATTGTCCCAGGGGATGTTTTGCTGAAAGTCGTTGACACCAATGTGGAAGCGGCTGATTTTGACACGGTCATGGACTTGATCGTGGCTCAACCGGGAGATGTGCCGTTGACTCTGGGTGATGGCCTGGGGACTCTGGACATGCCCAAAAATGTTGTCAATCAACTACAATCCACAGAAGATGCCTACTTTGTCGATGCCGTTGTACGGCAAGCTGTACGGGAAGCACGGATGCGCAATGCTCAAATGGGGGATTTAATCCAGGTCGAAGTTGTGGTGGGTGCTGGTGTACAACAAAACCAACCACAACCACAACAACAACAACAACAACAAAGTGAGCGAGCCATGGTGCGATTCTTTGCCATTTTCAGTACCGATGGAGTCTCGAGTTATTCCTGCAATGTCGCTGCCACGGGAGTGCGCAGCACCAAAGATGGACCCATTGAAATTGTATCCTTGTCATGTGCCAAGGATGAAGGACTTGGTCAAACCTTTGATTTGATACTGGAACAATCACAGTCATAGCTTTGTTTCTAGATAAGGAAAACAGCGAGCACAATTAATTTGTGAAGATTCAAGTCATGGCTACCCGTGATGATGCATTCGATTCATAGGTCAGCTACTTTAGAAGATAGTTGTTGCTGTGCTCAGAAGCGACCTCCTCAAAGGTTCCTTGTACAGCCGCATGTTCTGGTGGAAGCTAAGACAGAGAGGACTGTCACTCAACCTGCTGCAAATCCAAAGCTATGAACCAGCTCTATCTAGCATACGGTAAAGGTATCTGCTCCCCATGAAACTGGGAATACAACCGTGTACATGGAGTACCAGGCTCTACGTGTTACCCTGTCTTTCGCTATGTTTTGGGTGTTTCTACCTTTCTCGCTCGCTGGAACCTCACTGGAACATCGTCACTGGTATAAACCAAGCCTCACTGAACACAGACCACTGAACGACCGAAGGAACACAAGAAGACTGACGCAACCAAGTCAATCCAAGCCAAGTCAATCCAAGCAAAAGATCGCAAGTCAAAAGATCGCTCGAAACTTGCAAAGTCCTCGAAAAGCACGTGAAGTCGCTGGGAATGAATGAACGAACGAAAATGCCAAGTCCACGAACAACAAGACAAAGTCCCTCAGATCACAAACAAGATAACAAAAGACAACAAGAAAACCAGTAACCAAAAAAAATTCTTAAAACTAAAATGAAACATATAAAATTTGTTTTTGCTAAGCCTACAGCAGGATCGCACTGTAGGCTGGGTACCACCACCAAGGCAGTTTGCTCAACGCAAGCGTGGGTGGAAGCCGGTGGGCTGATTCTTCGTGTCGTGCTTGAACTTGTTGATGATCTGGGTGACCGTAAGCCACCCGTAGGTGGCATAGATACGGTCGACCGCAGCCCTCCAATCGAAGCCCTTGGCCATCAACCGAATCACACAGTCCCACACATGCTTGCGGCGGCAGAACTTGTCCTTGACGCGGCCGCGCTCACGAGCAGTAAACTCGCAAGCCGCCTTGTTGCCATTCAGGCCCTTGATCCACTCGTCCCACAGCTCGTAGAGGTTGAAAGGCTTCTTCGAAAGCTGCGCTGGCAGGGTAGCGGGTGTAGGGGCCCTTGCGGCAGGAGGACGGGCCAAACGCCCAGGACTCAGCGGTGGTGGTGGTGGTGGTGGTGGGGGAAGTCCTCCGCCAGCGCCCGCAGCACCACCGACGCCAGCTCCCGCAGCACCACCACCGCCAGCTCCACCGGCCGCACCAGGAAGAGGAAGCCTTGGAGCACCATTGCCACCACCCCTCGCGATCAACTGGAAGTGGTTGATCCTCCCAATATTCTTGTTCACGATGGCAATGTTGGTCGAGACATAGCCCCTCAAGGAGCTGATGTCCTGTGCAAGAATCTGCTGGGCCTCCTCGATCGCCTGCTGGGTCCTGTGTTGAAGAGCAAGCAATTGGTTGAGCTGTTCCATGTTGACACCACCAGGAGCACCTCCAACCAAGGGCTCAGCACCAGCTTGGACCTGGGCGGTGGGAGCCAACTCAGTAATGTGCAATGCATTGGCTACCTTGTAGATTGTCAGAGGAATCTTGGCCACAGGGTTGTAGTCGGCCCCAGGATCCTCATCCAAAGTGGTTCGAAGCTGGGCATACTCAGTCTGGATGCGGTTGCGAATGTCTGCCGGCATCATATGCTCCAAGCCAGGCTCCATCGCGGCCCAAAGCAAGGCAGGACCAAGTACCATCGGAAGGTTGTTGGATGGGTCGTCGGCAAAGAAGTCACAAATGGAAGGACAGACATGCTCGCCAATGAACCCATGATCCACACCGCTGTCAATCTTGATCGAGTACTTGACGGGGCCTCCAACAGCGAGAGTTCCCGCAACCTTGGCGTCGGTCGGCAACTGTTCCAGTCCAATGTAGACATGGACAATATGGCCGTTCTTCTCGCCCTTCCAGCGACCACGAGCCTCATTCTCGGCCTGGGTGATGCCACACTCAGCTGCATAGGTTGGAGGCAGCTTTCGAAGGCTGTGGGTACCGAGGCTTCCCTGGACTTGCTTGGCCAGCTCCACGAACTCCGGGTCTTTCCAAGCCTTCTTCAAGACGCGTTGGTACCAGGCGTTGACTCGATCTGGCTCCGTCTCGATGTTGGTCTCGTCGAGCTCTTCGTCGTTGTCCAGAGCCTCGATGGCGGCAAGGAACGCTTCTTCATCGTCGACACGGTAATGGCCAAACAGAAACTTGGGATCACCGTGTCCCCTCTCAAGTCTTGTCTCGATCCAAATAGCCAGGGCAATCAGGACGCAAAAGTCAGGGTCAGCGGCACCCAGCAAAATTTGGTCAGGACAATCGCGCTCCTCCTGGACGTTCTTGCTCCAGGATACCTTGGTTTGGAGAGCGATGTTTGGAAACTTGGAGTGGCTGCGGAAGTCCAATGTCTCCATGTTCGTCAGATCATCAGTTCGACCAATCATGTGGAACTGAACCTTCATCATGGTTGGAGTCTTGATCGTGAGGTCAATGTTGGCACCTCCATCACGCTCCAGGATCCGAATGGTCTTGCGGAATTCTCGAAGCTTGAGATCTCGCTTGACATTGGATTTCCTTCCCTGCTTCCTGACCTCCGCCTTCTTCACAGCTTTGATCACTCCATTGACGTTCGTGGAGCGAGTTGGATTCCCAACATTGGGACCAACAGCCCATGGCGAGTGGCGGTTCGGATGGAAGTGGCTGATGGCCTTCTTGTATTGTTCAAGAGTGGTAGATCTCTTCTGGGTGGGGCGATCATTGGGACCAGGATTGGTCTTCCCATATGCAAGGAAGTTCAGGAACCGGGCGACATCAGTGGGTGTAATGGCAAGAAGCTGGTCCTGAAGAACAAGAACAAAACAAAAAATGAACAAAAAATGTAGAAGAGCGAGCGACCATGGTGTGAGGGAGGATGTTTGATCAGCGAAATGACAGATTTGGCGAAGGAACGTACCTGTGTAAAGCTCCTCTTGCTATGGTATGGTGTCTGCCGGCCGTGCTTCCAAGACATAAACCTGGCGAGTGCCGGCCGGTATTGTTGATCGAGTGACTTGCGCTTCCTCGCCATTGTCAACGTTGGAACAAACAAAAGAGCGAGTAGGAGGATAACAAAATAGCGATGGTATTTGGCCATAGCTTTCGCTTATCAAGTAGCAATCTCCAAATTTATGAGCCGAATGAAAGATAATGAAAGATCGATCGGAGGTACTCCATCCAACGGTCAAGTCTTCCTGTAGGATCCGTACTACGGGATACGGCAGTTGAATTTGAGGGTAACTTTGGGAGTTTACCCTCTCTCAACACTAAGAGATAGGTTCCGGGACCATAAATCTTTGAGTTTCGCGGAACGATCTGTGTGACTGGGTTGTATTTTAGGCACGATTGCCAAAAGATACTTAGGAGAAAAGTTGTATTTTGGGGTTGCCGATACAACCCACAGTGCTATTCTGAGTAGTATCGGATACCCTCAAATGACTGGTTTTCCCCGGCAGAATACCCTCGCAATGTTTTATGTATCACCATTCCCCAATAGAGAATACCCATACTTAGGCCTAAGTAGGGGGTGAAATAAGTACTATGACTAGGAGGTGGGTCCCACCAACCAGTGCGATCCCCCAAAGACTGATACCCTCTATCATGTGACTACAGTTGTATATTGGTAATACGGTACCGGTAGCTTGAGAGGCTGTTTGATAATATCTTGTTGGAGAGGGCAGGGAGACGTGGAAAGGACTGGCATTTGCGGTCATGGTTGTGACTTCTGACGAGCTTTCTTCATCAGTCTGGCTGAACGAGAACTTCTCACATTTTCAAAAATAAACGGCCAAGATCACAATGTCCAGTGTTTGACCAGTGACCACCATCGTTCATCATCCCACCACCCCTGTCCTTCACAAGTGGTACATGTACCAGAAAGAAGAAAAACTATGATGTCGATGCTAAGGTAAGGTTTGAATCCGTCTGACTCATGAAGGGTGAGAGCAGCTACGGTAGTCGTTGGTGTATTGCTCACAACTGTATCTGATCAATGCGTTGCCTTGCCTTGATTTCGAAACGCCAGGTTTGTTCCGGTTCTTTTGGCCGTGATTGCCATTGGTCTATCCTTGGGCGTCATTTTCTCTTGCAGCTTTGTGGAGGTCACCATAGCTGTTGATGGCCTCCTCAACAGTACCGGTACCATGTTTGAAATACTGGATCAGGCAGTCGATGTGTCTGCTATTGGGTTGGACCAAAACAGAGGGGCTGTGTCAGTGGGGGTGGGAGTTTGGAGAGCTTCTGTCATGACGAGGAATGAAGGCTTCGTTTGTGAAGTTTTCCCAGATGCATATCTCGAAGGCATATTGGCAGCCCGAATCTGTGGCCTAATTGCTCCCATTCTAGCCACAATTACAGTCTTGGCTCTTTTGGGAGTTGCGCTTTCCTCTACTACCAGAAACGGCCGTTGCTTGCTTTGTTGCGACTGCTCAGTTCCAATGTCCCTAATGGTTTGCGCCATCAGCCAAGCTCTGACCTTCACCATGTCTCTACAATTGAGGTCGCTCTACGACGATGACTATTACGAATATGATCGATTCTTGGATTGGTCTCTGGATAGTGGCGCCCGCCAAAGCATTGCCGCAACAGCTTTCTACCTTTCCAGTAGTGTCGCAGTCAACATCGTTCCTTCACTCATCGAAAGTTATCATCACGAGGAAGGAGATCAGGACCCAGACTCAAAGCCAGAACAGCCACCAGAAGAACCAGCGCCCACTGAAACGGATCATGCTCCGATCCAGGCAGTTGAGAACGCTGCTCCGTAGAACTTCCTGGTGATAAAACACGCTGCTGCGCAACACTTGGGGAAGGGTATCCGCTACCGGTAACGTAGCCCTGGTAATGCAAACAACTACGCTGTATGCATACACAGCATCCCTACACGATCTAGATTAGGGGCATTCAACCAAGACAGGCTCTGAAACGGCATTTGCACCATTGTTGCTTGTCTGGTGATCAGTCCACCGCAATGGCATCAAAGGCTTCAAATGGATCCCCACGTTCTACAGTACGATGGAGCGTGATGCGTTCAGGGAACTACGTGTTGTTCAGCCAACTTGTTCAGAGCTTTCCAAAACCGCAGCAATTGTCGCTTCGCCCTTCGATACGTAACACCGTAACCTGTAGGTTAAGATACCGTTAGCTCGCAGAGCTGCATTTGTTTTGTGTTCTTGGGAATAGCAAATAAGCCTTTGGGTACCTGGAAATGTTTCTTAAGTGCGCTGTGAGGGGGTCAACGGTCTTTCGTCGTCGGCATTTCAAGGCAATCTTCGACCTTCGTGATGCCTCGTCCATATCTTTTTTTCGCTTCTCGCTTGCTTTGACAATAGCATTCTCCAACACAGGTTGCTGCTTGTGTGGCTTGCTGCCAACACCTGGATATCTCTGTAGCACTCCAACCATACCGGTACTGGAGTGCCATTTCTGGAACCAGAAAGCTTGGGTGGAGCAAAAGACCTTTTCAAAAGATACCCAGTGCCACACTCGAGCCACAAGTGTGAACCTCTTTTTGTTGTGGAATCGGCATTTTATAATAGTACCCATACGACAACATGGCAGATGATGCAGAGGCCGAGGCCGAAAGAATTATGATGGAGCAGCTGCTCGAAATTGAACGGCAGAATAGATTGGTAGAAGAGGCCAACGCAAGAGCCAAGTCCCAAGACACTGGTCTGGATGCTGAAGCCGAAGCAGAAAGGGAAATGGAAATGATGAATCAATTGTTGAAAGCCGCCGAGGAAGCCGAAGAGGCGAGAATAGCGGCTGAGAAGAAAATGCAAGCCGAGAGAGAGGCAGCACGCTTGGAAGAACAACAAGCAGCGGAGGAACAGGCTCGAAAAGAAGCGGAGCGGATGAGGAAAGAGGCAGAAGCTGCTGCTCTTGAGATGGAACGTCTCCAACGTGAAGAGGAAAAACGAGTGCGAAAAGAGCAAGAGGCAGAAGCCGAAAGACTCAGACTGGAGGCTGAAGCAAAGGCTGAACAAGAAAGGCTGGAAGAAGAGGAAAGACTAAAAGCTGAGGCCGAAAGGCTTAGACTAGAGGAAGAGGAACGACAAAAGGCTGAGGCCAAGAGGCTTAGACTCGAAGAAGAAGAAAGGCAAAAAGCAGAAGCTGAGGCCGAAAGGGTCAGACTCGAAGAAGAAGAAGAAGCAAGACTACAAGCAGAGGCCGAGCGGCTGAGAATCGAGGAAGAGGAGAGACTAAAAGAAGAAGCGGAGGCCGAAAGACTTAGACTTGAAGAGGAGGAACGACAAAAGGCAGAAGCTGAGGCTGAAAGGGTCAGACTCGAAGAAGAAGAAGAAGCAAGACTACAAGCAGAGGCGGAGGCTGAGCGGCTGAGAATCGAGGAAGAGGAGAGACTAAAAGATGAAGCCGAGGCTGAAAGACGTAGACTTGAAGAGGAAGAACAACAAAAAGCTGAAGCAGAGGCCGAAAGGGTCAGACTCGAAGAAGAAGAGGAAGCGAGACTACAAGCAGAGGCGGAGGCTGAGCGGCTGAGAATCGAGGAAGAAGAGAGACTAAAAGATGAAGCGGAGGCCGAAAGACTTAGACTTGAAGAGGAAGAACGACAAAAAGCTGAGGCCGAGAGGCTTAGACTCGAAGAAGAAGAAGAAGCAAGACTACAAGCAGAGGCGGAGGCCGAGCGACTGAGAATCGAAGAAGAGGAGAGACTAAAAGATGAAGCGGAGGCTGAAAGACTTAGAATTGAAGAGGAAGAACGACAAAAAGCTGAAGCAGAGGCCGAAAGGGTCAGACTCGAAGAAGAAGAAGCGAGACTACAAGCGGAGGCGGAGGCCGAGCGGCTAAGAATCGAGGAAGAGGAGAGACTAAAAGATGAAGCGGAGGCCGAAAGACTTAGACTTGAAGAGGCAGAACGACAAAAAGCTGAAGCTGAGCGGCTGAGAATTGAAGAAGAAGAACAGCAAAAATCAGAAGCGGAAGCAGAGAGACTCAGAATTGAGGAAGAAGAGAGACAAAAAGCTGAAGCCGAGTGGCGTAGGCGCGAAGAAGAAGAGAAACAAAAAGCTGAGGCAGAACGCTTGAGAATTGAAGAAGAAGAAAGGGCAAAAGCCGAAGCAGAGAGGCTTAGACTTGAAGAAGAAGAGAGACAAAAAGCCGAGGGGGAGGCTGAGCGCCTGAGAATCGAAGAAGAAGAAGAAAGACAAAAAGCTGAAGCGGAGCGGCTTAGACTGGAAGAAGAAGAGAGACAAAAAGCTGAGGTTGAGAGGCTACGACTCGAAGAAGAAGAAAGGCAAAAGGCTGAAGCAGAGAGGCTGAGACTCGAGGAAGAGGAAAGGCAAAAAGCTGAGCAAGAAAGATTGCGACATGAGGAGGAGGATCGTCAAAAAGCTGAAGAAGAGGAGAAAGCTCGGCTATTGGCAGAGCAAGAGAGGCTTGAGCAGGAAGCTGCTGCAAAGGAGTTGAAAGAATTAGAAGCACAGCTAGCAGCAGAGAATACACAGGACCCAGCTGGAGGTGATTCGCAGGCATTGGATGATCTCTTGGGAGATGATCTCATACAAGAAATGCAAAGCGAGATTGACAAACTGGGTCTAGGCGGTGGAGACAAAGCAGTAGGCGTCAGTGTTACAGATGACGATGATGACGACGTTGGCGCCAAGCTGGCCGCGGAGATGCAAAGGGAAATGGATAAGCTTGGAGACATCGCTGCTGGTATTGATACGGCGGACGATGTAGATGCAATAGGTGCCGGGTTGGCAGAGGAAATGCAGCAAGAGATGGAAAAACTCGGACTTGGTGGAGACATTGCGGCGGCAGATGTTGATGCCGCCGGAGAGGAGGAAGAAGAGATGGAAATAGACTTCACCGCTGATCTCAATATGGATGCTGATGAATCCAAAACCGATCACACTGATTCCCGCACCCGCCCGTCGATCCGAAATGTGGTGGGAAAGGTGAGTCAAATATCTGGTACAATCGAGCAGAAAGTAAGGGTCAAAGCCTTCATCCCTCCGGACGGAGTCGCAGCCCTGCACGCTAAACAAGTAAGCCCATCCGTTCGTTCGAAGGAGGTTCGAGTTGTCCCCTCCTTCCATCCAAAGAGTAAGGCTGCAAGGAGCTCTGATATGAAGAATCCACAACACCGGCAAACGGGTCCACCGGGAAAACTAAAGGTCGAACAGACCACTCCAGTCGTTGTTCCCCGGGTCGCCAACTTACCAAAACAATCCGCGCCGCGAATCAAGGCTCGACAATTGCATGCCACGCAAACCAAATCAAAGTCGAAATCGCCAGCGAGACCACCGAGACTAGCCCAGCTTGCTGGCGACTGGGCAGCATCAAAAACGTCGACGGAACCTTCTGCTCTTCCTCGTGTTGCAAAGCTCTCCCCGACAAAACTCGCCGCTTCTCCCGACAAGCCGGAAAAGGCAGTATCATCGCCCAAATCACCGCTCCAACCAGGCGCCCTGCCTCGTGTTGCAAGGCTCTCCCCGGCTCGACCTACGGCTCGCTCTCCCGAGAAGGAAGCATCACCGCGAACAAGATCTCGATCTCCCCCTCGTACTGGTCTTCCCCGAGTTGCCACACTTTCCCCATCCCGTCCTGCCTACGTGCCCCCAGTGGAGCCGATTTCCGTTCCACCACGATTGCCAACAATCTCTGCTGCGAATCTGCCACGTGTGGCAACGCTCACTCCTACAAATTGGGCTAATACCAAAGCAACGGACGGATCTCTTCCTCCAAGAATTACCGCTCCACCGATCATTCAGCCCCGGTCAGCGCCTCCGAAATTTTCGCACACGTTCCCACGAGTTTTGTCCCCCCGCGACGGCCCTCGCTGTCCAACACCGTACAACCCAGATCTGCATGGCAGCAAGGGTCCCTGCGAACGATGCATTGAGTTGTCTTCGGACGAGGAGAAGGAGAAGTTTCAGATTACAGGTCATCACTTGCGCATCATGGTAGTCCAAGGTGGCTGCGACAAGAGCTGTTTGATATATCCTCGTGACGAAGAGCAGATTGCGGTACGGCTGTGCAAGAAGTGCTACTTTGACACTCATCGGACCCTCTACGATAGTACAACCGAGGCCCTGTTCCTCCCGTAGAACAGAGGCCACGATTATATGTGTTTCGCGTAAAACGTGATGCTTGTCAATGATGCTTGTCAATGAAGGCAGTTTCAGCATTTTTGTTTTGGCTGTCTATCTCGAGTTGAACTCGTGAAAGTTGTCAGAATGATTGAACTGGCCCTTGCGATATCAAACTACGTACCGTACAGGGTCAACTGGTAGCTGTCCCATAACATTATTAGACCCTATCAATGCAACGAGAGATTCTTTATTCAACCAAGCTAGCTAGATACCGAGCTCCCCTTCAAAGAGAAAGAAAATGGTGGGTTTTTGGTAGGTACGGTAGTTCGCTGGATCCCGGTAAGGCTGCAGTACTGGTACCGTACCGGTACGGTACCAGTACTGCATGGGTGGTCTTCGCCTCCAGAGACCTGAAATTCAAAGGATTGGAAGAATCCAAACCTTTCCAAAAATTGAACAGCACCGCATGCACCCACCATGATCCAGAACCGTCGACGGCGTCCCCATAGCAGACGATCCTCCCACAACAAGAGCAATAGCAATGGTCAGATATCGTCCCCGGGCAAAGCGCCGTTGCACAAGAGCCCCAAGTCAGGAGGGAGCGCGCCAGGACAAGCTCTGATCAAATTGCCTCAAACGCTGGGAAATGGCAGCATTCGAGACCTGAGCAGTCCCAATAGCGGAGGGCTCCGAGTCTCGTTGCGTCGGAACATGTCTCAAACAAGTCGCAACAAGGATCCATCGACGACGACGACGACGACGACTACTAAAACGACGACGACAAGCCATCGAGGCGACCCGAATTCTTGCTGGGAATTCAGTGGGATGAATTTTTTGGTTCCCGCACTGGCGGTTTGGTCCGTAATAGTGCTGCTGTTTTGGTGGCCTGAACTCAAGGACGATGCTCTCGACTATTACTATCTGCAGTATCCAGAACAGCAGCCTCTTTCTCCAATTCCTGGTACTGTCCTGCCACTCATTCCCAATGTGTGGATCTACGATCCTGATAAACAACAACCCAACCAGCAAGGGCAACAGCAGCCAGATGAACGCAAACAGCACGTTTTGAATCATTTACGAGAACATCGACAACCTCACTATTACATGTTACCTCAAGATTACTATGAGCAAATGCCTCCGGGGGAACAAGACGACAACAACAATAATCAAAGTACCAAAATACGAGGTGTCCTCATCTTTTTGCACAATTGCCATCAGTCCGGTCTGCACTTCTTCCAGCTACCGGAAAGTCGCATTGTCGCAGCACAAGCACTCAAACGAGGATTGGCAATCTTTAGTCCGACAGCATCCTCGGCTTCCAAACTTTTCACCACCAACGTGGGCAAGGGAGGGAAATCCAAGCGTGACAATCCACAACAACAACCATTGCAAGGTGGTTCCGATGAAAAGAATTGCTGGTCTTCGCTGGATGGTGATGAATTGTTAGGGCCCCTGCTCTATGAATGGGCCAAACAGATGAATGTTGTCTCGCTGCCACGGATGGCCATTGGAATGTCCAATGGCGCAAACTTGTTCATGGCATCATCCCTTTACAAAACACTCCGCCTCCAATCAATGGCATTGTATGGCAGCCACCACCCAAGTGGATTCAATCGTGCCGATCTAGACAATGATGTCATTCCTGCTACTGCCTTTGTAGTCTTTCCCAAAAATTCCATTGCCACAGAGTATGCCATGCGACATTACGGCATCTTGCAGCAAAGTCATGAAGCAGACCAGGAGGAAATGGAATTGCGCAAGGAAGAAGAGAGAGAAGAATTGGAAAAGGAAGCAGCAGAAGAAGAGGAGGATGAAGAAGAAGATGGATTGGACTCGGAAAAGACCAAACCTAGACGTCGCTTCTTTCGCAAAACACAACTATGGAAAATTGATCCTCATGCATGGACCCCATCCTTGTGCCAGGCTCGTCTGCCAGAGTATCATACTCGATGTCGCAGTTTCTTTCGGCATGTGCAAGGGTATCAAAAGAACAAACAACGCAGACAGGAATTCAAACAAATGAAACAGGATCCGCAAAAACGCGCCAAACGACTCCGTCTAGCCCACGGTGGCCTGCAGAATGCCAAACAAAAGTTTCAACTCATTACATCGCTCGGCGAAGTCTTACAATCGAGCAAGAGTCCTCAGTGGGTTCCAGTCATGCAAAAGTTGGGCCTAGACGATTGGACCACTCACACCATGGCGTTCACCTTGGCGTCGTATGGAAACAACAAGCCGCAACCCGACAAAAAACACCAAAAGATGCGAAAGAAGACATTGCAACTTCAAAAATTTCCTACGATTGCGACACCGGAAGGTCGATCGTGGCTGTGGGCCAGCATGCTGCAAGAGATTGAAGCTGCCTATGGAGTGCAAGAAATGACGTCCGAGTACTCATCTCAGATTTTGGACTTTTTAATGTACCATGCGGGGCTAACTCTGGGGGCGGTGTCATAGCTTTCACAACACTTCCTACCGGTATATCCATGCAGTCAGCTCTTGCAAATTACCAACGCGAAGATTTGAAACCTGGCAAAATCCAAGAGAAAAGGGTTGCCTAGCCAGCAAAGAGTGACGGGTTTATGCACATTGCCAAGCACTTGCTTCTGTCACTGCTCAGCGACAAGGAATCTTTTTGATTTTGAGGGATTGTTCAACCGACTCCGCTATTTGCGTTGGCGAATGGTTGCGGTTAAATTAGCTACCGGTACCTGCTGGCTAGCTAGCGTTAGTCCGGAATTTCAATGGCTAGAGGATCTGCTGAATATGGCCCCGCCCACGGCTTAGTCGAAATAGCTCCCAAAAAAACTTGTGGCATCAATGAAAGCGCGCTGAATCAGGCACACGCATGAGCACGGAGTAGCTGTATTCAGCGTGTGGCTAGAAGTGCAAGTTCCAGATGTCAACTCGCCCTGAATCCATGTATGGAAGGATGCTACCGATGCAAAGACTTCTGGTGTTGAAGTTCCGCACCCATCGGCTGGCAGAGGTTTGAGAAGAGTGAACGTGAGCCAATTCATGCATCAACCACCGCTCCTTGGAAAGCCCAACTTACAACCCACAAATGAAGCTACGCCAACTTGAACCTTCGCGCTATCTAGGAGAGGACCTCCTGAGTCACCTGAGGCAGACCGAAATGCGTGGCGATTGATTGGAGGAATGAGCTGAGGACTGAGCTCTGTGTCACACCAAGTGGTAAGCTGGCGACTTACCTTTACAAACACCATTATTGGAAGCGCCCACTGCGCATACATGATAAGTTGAGCTAACACACTCCCAGGCCTCCTTGCAGGTTGATTCGCTGACGAAGGCTTCTGTCGTCTTCAAGAGCGAACTCGAAGTGGGGCCATCTGTAGAAGTGCGTCCAAACCCAATCGCGGTTAAATCCCCACTTGACGGATGGCTTGTATCGCTGTTGAGAACCACGAAGGAGGTAACCGTTGTGACCGGGGAAGAAAGTGAAAGGACCGCAAGGTCGCTGTAGACTCCTTTTAAGTCGTATCCAAAGTCAGGATGAATAGAGACACAGCTCGGTGTGACAGTCTCGCCGTCGGAAGTGGTCGTGTGACCTACTCTTATCTGCGTCGGGAGGAAGATGCTTCCCGAGCTTGAGAGAAAGCAGTGAGCTGCTGAAAGTACCCTATTCGCAGAAATCAAGGTCCCTCCACAATAGATCTGTCCTTCATACTCGAGTGAGACGAACCACGGGAACTCCCCAGAACTGGCTGTACGTGTGCAGGAGCGCAAAAGAGACAATGAGGCGGGGCGGGGACGCTTGAACTCCCACGAGCTCCTGTGTGCTAGTACAGTTACCTCCTCACTTGCTTACCAGGAGAGCCTCCCACGATTTCTTGTGGCCCTGCCAGTGGCAGCAAATAATCATACCTCTCGTCAATGTCTCCTTCAAACCACTTCAAGTCGTCTTCTTGCGTTCGTCGGAGATGCCACGGTGCAGCTGATGTCGTAGTTGCCACCAGGACTAGGACGAGCAACGAAAGCAACGTGGGTAGCTTTGTCGATGACATCGTAGATGTAGGCTCTTTAGGAGAATGAATGAATGAGGGAATGAATGTCAATTGTTAAGAGAACAAGATTTAGCCATGTTTCTGCGTTGCAAAGATCGAATCCGGGACAATGCGAACGGTACCGTACCGGTCATGGTATCGGTACTGTACAACTAGGCGAATACTTTTCAACCATCGCTGGTGGTGCGAGACCCAGGCTGTGGAACCTGACATCAAAAAACGGTCAGAAAAGAAGAATTTGGCGTTCAGGAGCACATCAGGATGTTACATGTGTGCGCAGTCTCCCGTGGTTGCGGTGACTTGGATGTGATTAGGGATAGACGGGTAGGTGTCGTTGCTACTCGCAGTTGTACGACCCTTTGAAACGCACCTCGTCCGTTCTGCGAAGGTCTTTCGTGCGCGACGCACCCACCCGGGCCTGAAACTGCTCAGCTCACAGGAAAGCATGGAGCCAACTGTCGCTTTTAGTGCGAAAGCATGCAAAAAACGCAGTTGTCCGGCTCTGCTTCGAGAAGACCCTCAGTAAAGACGCCTGGCACTGTGTTTAAAAGTTCACGATGAGTGCCAGCGTCGATCTCCGCAGCCTAAGCTCATGGTCATGGGCCGGTCAGTTCTTTGGTAACCTTGGTGACGACCTGGAGGAACACTCCAATGACAGTGGCTCTGAAGTATCGGACGATGAGGAGTCTTACTCAAGCTATACAACCGCAAGCTCCTCTGATGGCTTTGTGTTTCACCGCGACTACACCATTCTTGCTCCATCCAAAACCTTCGATGAAATGAGCGACATCTATGACTCCGTGGCTACCGAACTGAGCCACTCAGGCTCGACCTTGAACAGCAAAGGTACGAGTGGCTCAGAACAAGAACAGCAACAGCAACAACGTCGATTTAGGAGGCGTTCCACTGCTTCGGCATCCATCAAGTCTTCATCGCAAAGAACAGTGCCCCCATTGCTGAAAGCTATAACGGAAGAAGATGATGACACAGACGCACACGAGGCATTCCTTCGTGCCAAAATGACGTCGCTTTGGACTCGCATTCAGGAGTCTGCCCAAGCAGAAGATCTGTCTGCTGCTCCAACAACAGAGCAAGACAAGGCGCTGCTGCGTGCTTACGCAATAAAGAACGACACGCTCACTCTCCTGAGCAACACACCCTAGTCGACAAAGGGAGAAGGCACCGCTAGCCATACTGGTACAGGCGGGTTGCATGCCTTGCTGGCCGAAAGGAGTGTGAATGGTTTTTAGTATGTTGGTGGCTGTTGCTCGCTGCACCCTATGTTTATGCTCGTCCCTGCTATGCATACATCGGCCGTCTTTCTGATGTCAAAGCCGTGGGCTGCTGAATTCACGATGCTGCTGCTTTACCGTATACCGGTACCGGTACCGGTACTGGCAGCTCGCTCGCAGTACTGTAGGTTGTTGGATAGGATACTGCACGATAAAACCAATTTTTATAATGGCTGCCCTGGTACCATGCTGTAGACAAAACAGTTACTATAGTCTGATTGCGGTATAGATTTGGCCGGTCCTTGGAAAACATCTTGTAAAGAGGAACTCTACTATCGGTACCGGTACCTGGTAGATTATGTACAGTGGCTATAATATAGAATTGCAAACTCCACTTTAGTTCGTCCGTCTAGGGTGTAGCGATGCGTACCGTACGATGAGGATACCCGTACACGAACATTCAGGGAGATTATTCTCACTGTGGAACCATCCTGGAACCTATGATAGCTACCGACATGTCATACGAGCAGCTTCGATTCTATTGATTCAAACGCGTGCCGCTCTTTTTGGTACACTTCTACGAGTGGTCCTGTAGAAGTGCACAGAAAAGCTCGGCGCGCGTTTGAATCAGTAAAAGCGAAGCTGCCTGTAGGCCTGTCCATCCCGCCAGTCCTTCCGAGACAAACCAAAAGCAAAAAATGGATCCGAGACCGCAAAGTGCTCGCCTCGTGCGACTTCTAAGTACCGACGAGTTGAGTCCAACGCACACCATTAATTAGATCATGGCGAAGAGACCATGCCCATGCCATGCGTTCAACATAGTTAATTAGAACCACCGCTAAATCCAGATCTCGAGAGCCAACATCTTCCTTGGCCTTTCCAGCAAAAAAGTTGAAGGAATTACAGGTTTACAATGCCGGTGTAGCCAAGCAGAGAGCAAGCAGCTGGGTTCCTTCATTTCACAAAGAAAAGATACATTGGATACAGCAGAATGTTGGGTGGTTGCAGTCTGCCATTTTTCATGGCGTGGAACAACGAACCTGAACCGGAGCCAGAGCCCGAGTCTCTGGTTGATGCCATGGTCGAAGTCATGGATGGCAGTGACACCGAAGGCCCCGACTTTCAAATCAATGACAAGGAATATCAGGACCAGAATTGTAGAGGAAAGTTGATTCCTGATATGAGAAAGCTAGTGGACCTCTCCTGGATGGCGAAAACACCTCAGTCGAAAGCCCCAAACAACTCAAACGATTTGAAACTCAATACACCCATGCAGGTCATGTGCGAGGCCGAGGCCGAGGATGATGCAAGCGATGACGATCACAAGCTCACTGCAGACATTGGGCTTTGTCGTGGATGTTCTTCTTTATCCCAGGTGAAGGTTCACTGGGACGAGGAATCAGGTGACGGTGAAGTCGAGGTGGAAGTTGACATGCCGGAAGATATCACCCTGAAGCCGCCTGTGACCAAACCGCCAGCAACCATCTTAAAGTCAAAGCACGTTACCTTCACAGAAGAGTGTACAGATCATCTGCGAAATGAGTTGCATGCATTCTTGAAGAAGCAGAAAAAGAAAGGAAAGTCAAGGAAGGTCAAAAAGGAACTCAAAAAGCACCTCAAAAAGGCCTTGATTGAATTCATAAGTTCAAAGGCAGAGGCTGCCGACGGTACCCGCACTACCAAGAAGCAGTTTGAGAAGGCTGTTGGTGAGATGATTAACAAAGCCATACTCGAAGATCAAGAGATGAATGATACGTCTGAGCGTGCTGGACCAGAAGCAAAGGAGAGTAAAAAGAAGAAGAAAGAAAGGAAGGATAAGAAGAAACGTGACAAGTCCAAGAAGAAGGATGCTGGAAGGGCCGCACACGTTGAGGAAGTTGAAGAAACCAAAGATATCGCGCATCAACAGCATCATGCCATGGATGTTGCACAACAGCAGACTGCTCAAACGGAAGTATCTGGAAGTGTCGTCGTCAACCCGATCGAATCTTCCCGGTTTGAACCACTAGAAGAGCAACTGCTTACACGTGACATTTCTGCTCTCAGCAAGGTATCCGTGGCCAGCAGTATGGGAAGTTCCTCAAAGTTGTCTTCTCTCGAGAGCCTCATTCAAGCCGAGTATCAACGACTTCAGGACCTCGAGGATGCCCTCGACGCACAGAGAGAGCTGAAGGAGAAGGCGGAACTCGAAGAGAGGATGAGGATGCAACGCCAGGAAGATGCCAGAAGAAAAGCCCTTGAAAGCAACAAGGAAGCTGTAATCGTCAATGACGAGCCCCTTGTTCAGTCTGAAACAAGGAGTGTCGAAACCAACGGTTCACGAGGTGAAGGTAGCAACGAGGATGTAAGAGAGCAAGCCTCCAAGTCTACCGCTAGCGAGGAATCTCCCCCGAAAGAGATCACCGTCAAGCAGAAAGAGCTGGAAGAAGAAATAGCAACCGAGCTTGCCAAGCTGCAAGCCTTGCAAAACGATTTTGTTTCAAAGGTACAAATGGCCAAGGTTGACCGTGAGTCTGTCTTGAAGTCGGATCTATTCGCCAAGAACGTTTTCAGTGGTCATGCTGCACAGAGCGACCAAAAGAATCAAGACGAGGACGGCCAGGTTCGAGGTGAACTGCGACGTCTTCGAGAAGAGCAGAAGGCACTCTTTGCCAGAAGCCGTGAGCTGATGCAACGGGACGAAGTATACTGAAACCCGATTCCTCTATGATTGCACTCACTAAGAGCTCCAACTGCAGATGCGTACCGGTATCGGCATGTGGCCCAACCAATCAATCGGTCAGTTGAGAATTCCTTCCACAAAACCTTCCTCTCCTTCGAACTAGGGTGTTGAATCATGGATCATGGTAACCCAACAGGTCAGATAGGATTTCGATTGCTCTCTCTCTCTCCCTCTCTCTCTGTCTCTGCATACAAAAATGAGCCCTACATTTTAGAATCGATCTACCGGTAGTAGATTGGTTTTACCTTTTCATAACTCTGAATAGTCGTAATTTTGAATCATGGCTTGATGTAAAAGTACACGTGTACGGGTAGCTGTATGAATGCGCCAGTGCATGCAATGCGATAGTCGTATCTGTGTACATCATTTCATGTAGGGACATGCTGATGTGCTCGTAAAAGAAAACGCTGGAAGAATGAATCACTGTCTGCACATGAAAGTATTGCTGCAGTTTTTTACATGGGAGCTTCGAGTGCCCACGGCGGTCTGCAGGTGTAGGTCCAAGTATTACTTCAGTTGTGAGGGTTGGGTCCAGGAGTCGATCCAGTTTCCAGGTTACCTGAAACAAACATTCACACTTCACTCCTTCAGACCTTGATGGGTTGTGGGATGGCGGAAACAAAAATTGGAGAGACTGGGGTTTCCTTGCCAAAGAAGTATGGGTCGCTCTGGCCAAATTGGAATTTCTTGTAAAAAGACACCAGCACTTGCCACAATAAAAAGTGAGATCCACCATGGTTTCAAACAAATGGAAACGGCTGGACGGGCCACCTCCTACCGGCCCTCCTACTATCATCGGCTGCATGCAGCATAGTTCCTTTGACTAGCCACTATGAGTCCACAGAGCAATCTACCGTTCAGGCACTCTTGATGTCATTCCATCTGCCCTACCGTACTAATGTGGATCTGGGGCTGATAGCCAGCTACCGGTAGCGGAACAGGAGACGTCACACTGTCACACTTCATCACACCGGTACCAGGTACCGGTACCGGTGCATGCCTGGTGCCTGGTTCTCTAGCTACTGGTATGCATACGTGCATATTACTCCAGTATTGTAGTTTTTACTGGACATTCCTTTTTAAAGTCAGTCATTGGCTGGCTCTTGCAGATGACTTATGACTGCCAGTATCTCCCCTACTACCGGTAGTATGTATTCAATCAAAACTGGAGTACTCAGTACAATTTTTCAAAAGGAAAATTCTGCTTTTACGCTGTACCAACTAACCAAAGAGAAAAAAATTGGAAAATAAGAAATAAAGATTTATTTAGAAACGAAACCGCACATGGTACCTGGTAGCTGGAGAAATAATGTCAAATGAGGCTTACCAGCTACCAGGTAGGTAACCGCAGTAAATGCGGGGTTGGTCTCGACAAGCTCTGCAATAGTTGCTGGATAGAATGGTGGTAAGAGAAGTGAGCTCATTATTCCAACTCCAGTGTCGACGTCTCGACGACCGGTACCGAAGAAGTGGTGGTGCCTGTACCAGGTACCGAAGTGAATAACCCACCATGAGGATTGGATTCGAGAAGCCAGTTGGTTCTCACGCCGATGTGAAGGAATTGGAATACATCTCAGCTCTTCATCAAACAGGTTTGACGATACGGAAGAATGGTAGCATTGAAGGTAAGGCAGATTGAAGGTCATTTCCATGTGTGACCGAATGATTCCATCGAGTCTGTGGCATATGGTGTGTTGACCGTCCTCTTGTCTTTCGAAGCCGACGATATCGTCGCTTTGCTGCACAGTCGCTTTGGACTTGAAGTCAAGAAAGAAGCAATCGAAGATGAAGTTCTCGTCGACTTGGCCGGGGATCCGAAGAATATTCCAACCCATGTGCTCGACCTAAGGCAGGCCATTGCCATCCTACTTATCCCCCACTTGCTTAGGTGTCTCAAGGAAAGAGACCCCGATGACCAGATTGCCTCCATTGTAGATGAAATACGGTCCAGCTTTCTCAATGCAACTCTCTCTGCAGAATCAGAGCATGAGACATCAGCCTCAATTATGATCACCAAAGCTTTTGTGACCGATTTGTTGGCACATTGTGATGAGATGGATGTTTCTGAGGAGCTTGTTGAACAAATGGTGGAAGTCGCCGGTGGAGAAGGGGTAGAGTTCAATACCGAAACCTTCTTGAAGGCGTTGACTCAAGATCTGGAGGGCTACAACCTAGAGTGGGAAAGCAGACTCAGCACCACCTATATGGATATCCTGGGAGCTAGACCTCCCATCCCCATGGGACGCGAAGGAGGATTGGTGCGTCGTTCCAGTAGTGTCTTTCTGCGCAAGAGCGCCACCAACAAAAGCCAAATGTCTGCCAGCACCACGACATACTCCAATGTGAAGAAAGATGCGGCAGAGAAGCAGCCAGCGGATTGCGCCAAAACACTTACAGGCGCTGAATTTACTTATGCCGACGCAGAAGAGGAACCTGACCTCCGAGAGGAGTTGGCCATGAAAGCGAACAAAGTCCTGACAATTCCAGGAATCGACAACACTGCAGATCTGTATGGAAGCCAGACATTCGTCGTCCTCCAATGGTGCGCTTTCATGATCCTATTCGTTGCGTTTGTTTATGGAGGTGAAGGAGATGGGAACATCGAGACCAAGTGTGATCCTGACAAATTTGGTTGCAAAGTTGGTAATGCGATTCTGAACTGGCTGGGAATATTTGCCCAACTCGTGGTCCTTGGTGGATTGTTCTTCATGTTCACCTCCATTGCAAACAGTTCTTTCCTGCCGCACAGTTGGATATCCATTGCCCGCGTTCTTATCGGCATGGTCGCTGTGTTTGTGTTCTGTGTCATGCCCGAGTTCTCGGACGTTGACACTTGGTTCTTCAGCACATCCTGGGACACACAAAACCAATTATTTCTTCTCTTTGGTGTGTCAGCAGTAGGAGTAGGAGCTCTTCTGTTGATATTGCAACTTCAAACACTGGTTCGGTTGCTAGTGCCATACAACACTCTTCAACAGAACGAGACACTGAGACGCTGGCTTGAGCCTGGTATATTGAAGAAAGATCTCAACACAAAACGTGCGGCAACCTGGAAGACAAACAAAATGGTTGAAAACGCGTTGAGCCTCCATCGGACTAAGAAATCTGATGCCGATCAATCCACAGACGGTGGTGGAATCTCGATCTCGTCGACACGGCGATCAGGAGTCACCGGGCAAGCAATGTTCAACTTCCTCGCCACGGCCCACCACACGGAGAAGACGGGCTCAATGATATGGGCCTGGAAAGGTTTCTTCACAGGATCAATATGCTATGAAGAAGGGGTTTGGTTCCACTCAAGGCTCTTGGCCTCCGCGTTGGTACAAGTCATGGTTATCATTGTTACAGTCACTATATTCGCCATCGCAGTTATCGACGTCCAGAATGCTTACGCCGTGGCAAGAGGCGAGATTATATATTGTGGTAGCTCGGGATGCTACGGCGGTGACGTGGATTATCTGTACAATGAGACTACAGGCAACTGGACAGAGGTTGATAAGCCAAGTCTCAAAGAGCTCCTGAACCAGTCTGTGGCTGAAGCCTTCCAGGAAGCAACCGCCGAAGAGAGGGCAGAATTCATCACGGAGATCGAAGCTGTAGTTTTTGAGGCAAGTGGCGTGAACGTTAGCAGTCCTACATTGGAAGCGTATTACCAAGATGGAATCGTCGGCTCCGCGACCAAGTGGTTCGTGGAGAATGCAGCTGAAGAAGAGTAAGTTGTCTTTTGAGTGCTTCAGGCGGGTGATGGCATCCAGCGACAGAACAACTTGCACAATCTAACTTATGATGTGGGTGGCAATTCAATTGCAGTGTAACCTTTGGAATTGCCATTGGCTTCGTCTTTTCCATTTTTTCAACCTTTTGGATCCTGTTTGGTTACACGCCCTCTTTCGTCTTCAACGTCATGAAGTTTCGATACGGCGTCGTCCCAAGTCTCTACAGCTCTGACTTCCAGCTATATCGAAATGCACCTGATCATGCCACCATCGTCTTTGGTGAGTTCCCAACATGGCATTGTCTGTCCAGTTGAGTTGGCTGCGTTCTGGAGTGCTAACAAAATGGGCTACATTATAAAGGCATGGCTTTTTGGGCCCAGCTCTTCACTTCGTTTTTGGCGTTTTTAATCCCCGGTTTGGTTGCCTTCATTTTGGTGTGGGATGAGACAAAGGATCAAGTCCAAGGTGTTCTGGCACAGCTTGTAGGTATCGCAGCCACGCTTTTGCTCAAAATCCTCGTCATGTTGGGCCTGAGGCGTTTGTTACTGGCAGGATTCTACCGGCGGAACCTGGCACCTGCCAACGCCCTCTTTTTGGTTCTCGAGTGCTGGAATGTTGCCCTGAGTGCAGGGTTTTTGGTAGCAAGAACAGCGATCTTCGTTTTGTGCTCCATATTCTATCTCGGCCGTATCGACACACCTTGTAAGTCCACGGACCAATAGCCCAATCGGGTGGAGGAATGTTATCGCTCCCTTGCCCACTATGACATCATGATGTCTGATGTTGCTTTTGCTGTCACATTTGTGTACGTTGAATACTGGCGCGGTCCACTGACGACACCTGCGATGAAACTCGGTTGACACAGTCCTTGCTCCCGGAGTAGACCGTTTTGATTTGCTACCGAACCTCTTTCTCGATAGGGCCCCTGTTTTCTACCGGGTGCGTGTCTCATCTCAAGAGCTACAGCATTGAATCTGAGTACAGACTATGACATGCAGTCTTCGATCTAACTCCTTTCTTCCCCTTCTAGAAAGATCTTTTGCAGCACGAGGCGCACAGGTAAGAGAGTGGCCGCAGCAACAACTCCCGCATCATTTGAACACAAGAAGACTGACAGTTGCCACTCTTCGTTCGTTCTCGCTCTCGCTGAAGGCATCCATACATAGACAGGTTGGCTGCACTTTATCTTTTGAAGCTCAACCTTGGCCCCTCGTTCGCTACCCGAGCTGGATCTTGTTGGCGTCTCATCTTTAGTATACAACTAATGCCATGGGTTCGAAGGTACAAAGTTCACCATGACACGGACGAAGTCGGGGCAGAGGATGACGAAGAGGAACGCCAAGCTCCTCCCTCCAAGAATCGTGGAAAGACTTTGCGAGAATCTGTGTTGGAAGAGGAAGTTATGAAGCTACGCGCGCAAACGGCTGAGCTAAAAGCAAAAATGGAGAAAATGTCAAGCCAAAGGGTTCTTGAGACGGGCGACAGCAATGTAAAGAATGAGCTCGTGGAAGAGGACGTGGTCAAAGCCGAGGAAGACTTCGTGGCAAACGAGGATGACGTGCGCAAGAGCCCAAAGCACACCGAAACAGATGCGTCCTCCACGGCAGAAGAGGTTCGGGTGTCGAGCCCAAAGAAGAAAAAGAGAAAGAAGCCCACAGAGACAGAGACTTCAGTAAGAGCCGAGGCTGGAGTGACGAGCCCATCGATGGACAGGAGAGATGCACCGGGCAGGTTAAGCACAATGAGATCTACCGAGAAACCACACAAAAAGTCTGAGGAAGACGAGGGAGCCCTCGCAGAAGGACAGTACTTTGTTTAGTTAAACGGAGCATCCCTCTAGCTCTGCGTATTCTAGCGAGAGCTGTACGGCAGTTTCTCATTTCAATTTCCTGCTACAGTTGGTGGACCTTTCAATTATTGTACTACGCTGTATGTTTTTTTAAAGATACAGCATTCCGTTTCTCTGGCAAGATAAGTTAGTTTCTGCGCCAACTCCCGCGCAGACAGCGCTTCATGAATTGAAAGAAATCTAACCCTGTAGAATGAACAGCTTTCCCTTCCATACTCTACGACGACTAGACCTATCAGGTTGCGTGCTGTGGTGCAGTCTGTGCCACAACCAATGATCGAGTAAGTGTGTGCGGTGTGCGGTCAAGCTATTTGTCAGTCACAGTCATCGAGGTGCTCCGCAGGTGCGCATTCCACGATCCACGGTGCGCACAGAGAAAAACCGAAGCAGTATCAAAAGAGTGTAGCTCCCAGCATTGGCAGAACCACAATCTCCGTTGACTTCCAAGCTGGCAGCTCACCTGTTGCATTTTTGGTGTTGATCGAGCACCTCGCAACGCATCAAGAATACTCAGAGTAGGTGGCTTTGCAGTTCTGATCACTCAAAATTATTAGATTGTGGATGCAGCCACCATGGGTACCGATTCATCTCTCTCTTCGTCTTCGATCAAGGCAAATGAAAAGCGGATTAGGAAGTGCCCTTCAGGGATCCGTCCCGTATCGTCCAAGCAATCTTCATCGTCGTCGAAGAAGTCGTCATCGTCGTCTCGGAACAAGAAATCAGTGAGCTTCTCGAAGCATGAGACTCTGATGCAAAATGGTGAGAATCAGGAGAGGTGGTTAACACCGGCCGAACGAGCCGCGGCAATGAGAGAATCGAGAAGACTATCGCGAAAGCAGGAGCTCCTTCAAAAGGGAGAGCCTCGGAGACACCAGGACGTAGACCAATCGGCTCACTCCCATGGTGTCCCACCCGAAGTCAAGGTGCATAGTACTTTGGACGATAGTGTCACTCTCAACACGTACAATACCTTCCACACAGCCAGTGGCGGGACACATGTCAGCGCCATGACGGCTCAATTTAGCGTCAGCGACTGTCGATCTTGTGGAATTTCCGATCTTGGATTTCCATGGTTCCAACACGAAGGAGTGCATGATCGAATTCAGCACCAGCTGGAGACTGCGGCAAAGCAGCAGGAAGGAAAAGGCATTCGACTGACCCACTTTACGGCCGTTAGGAGAGGTTTCCCAGGTGAGGTCGATTCCAGTACGTATGGGCGGCACTTGCCACCTGCCTTTTATGGAACTCTTCAGACAATGAAGGAAAGATTCCGAAGTGAAGCTGTCGATGAAGTCTGCTGTGATGATGGACAGGAACGTCCGTCCATTACAACAAAAATGCCTCCATTGCCATCTCAGGAGGAACTGGCTAGCTATGCAAGCCGTTCAAAGGTTGCTCTGTTGGAAACAATCGATGCGCTGGAGAAGCTACGAGTCAAGACAGGTGAATCTCTGGGGCCAACCATTGAGCGCCTTCGGGTTGAAACGGAAGCTAGTTGTATTCAAGGCGATGCTTGGTGCAGAGACCACTACTCGAAATTGGCAGAAACTACGACCGAGGTACACCGTGAAGTTGCAAAGGTTACCCAGGACTGTTGTGCAGGAGCTGAGTTCGACGAGCAGCAGCAGATTCCGAGACTGACATATAATACGTCCATGGACCCACCTGAGGGTGATAGTCCCAGCATTGTTCAAGCCCCTACTCTACCAGAAGAAAAGGAGTTCTCGAGACAAGCTGACCAAGCAATGCTTAAGAGCCTCAGAAATGCAGCTTCCGTCTTTTTGGATCGGTACACAGCATTGATTTCATCCATTCCGACATTTGGTGCGAAGAACGATACAGAAACCGATCAGGTTGTCCTGGAACTCCCAGACAATTTTTATGTGGAAATTGAGAACGCGTCATTGAAGTCCAACAAAGCCATCGAAGTCAAGGAAAGCGATGACCTTGTCTTTGTCGAAACCATGGAAAGCATGATGGAAAAGGATGAGGTCCTAGGGTCTCAAGATTCTGGGGATACGCAAGAAGTGGTAGTTTTGCAAGAACCAACATTGGTCGGTGCACAGGATCCGGACGGAGTCAAGGATTCAGATGATTGCTCCGTAGAGCCTTCACGAGATTGTCCGAGCCGTCTTTATGATCCTAATCTCCACCCTGAACCTGCCATCAAACAAGGTGGTTCAACGTTGATCGGCAACCAAGACAGCTTTGTTTCCATCAACAGCCAGAAGTCTTCTCAAAGCCAAGATGGAGTCTACATGTCCAAGTCTTCTTTTAGTCACGATATGGCCAAGATGTCGAAGTCAATAAGCCAAGAAGACGTATACATGTCTAAGTCTTCTCAAGAGGACTTGAACATGACGTTCAGCGGCGAAGAAAGGCCAATTGGAACGTCACCAAGCAAACCAATCGACTTGAATATGTCTGACAGCGTTTCAGTGATGCCCATCGGACAATCACCAAGCGAGCCAATCGACTTGAACATGGCCTTGTCATCTGACAGCGTGGACAGGCCCATAGGGCGGTCGCCAAGCAAACCAATTGAACTGCCGATGTCAGCTAGCATTGTTGGAGACAAACCCATTGGAAGATCGCCAAGCAAACCAATCACCGTGGAGGAATCTCTTGCAGAAGATGCAGACCTGCATCCAAAGAGATATGATGACCGGGAGGCGGCCAGGTTAGAAAAGGCATCCGCTTCTGTCTGGAAAAAGCTGAAGAAGCTGACCAAGAAGAAGAAGATGGCTGCTGTAAACCTCATGGGAGACTTGGTTGACGAACTTGATCGCGAATCTGTCTTCGTAGCCTCTTCAGATGGCATCGTTGGCGACAACGGTTCGGTTGGAACTCAAGGTACGTTCCAGAATCCGATTATTCTTATGGAGGAAAGCGAAAAAATAGTCGAGCAACGACAGGATATGGAACGACCCATGAAAGCGACGTTAGGCGCTCCACTGAGCCTATCCAGTCGGGACGCACAACGATTGCTGGAACTTGAAGATCAGAGTCAAATAAGCGCCCTCACGGGCCTAAATTCCCATGAAACGAACGGCATCATGACAACTGGCGCAGTAGCCAGCGTTGAGGACAAGTCAAATGGTATGCCACCGCGAACTGGTTTAGATGCCGGTGGTGGATATGGCCCGTCAATGAGGAACTACGGCAGGGAGCCACCAATGATGACTACTAGCGAGATGGAGTATGATGATAAACTCGGCAATGATTTCTCGAAGAGGAACGAAGCGGCAACCAAGTTCTTGTCGAATCTCAAGAACCACCTGATGAACGAACGCCAGCACCGGGGCAGGACTGCTGCCGAAACGTACGCCGTTCGTAAGTTTGTGAATACGTTTGTGGTGGAAGATGCTCCCATTGCGCCACACACGCGTAACCCCAGGATTGACTTACATCATCAAGGTGTGCGGCATGGTCACTGGGACGACGACGACGATGAACCCCAGGTGTTGCAAGCGCCCGCCATCAACCTATTGAACGCCACGAGCTTTTTCAACGGAGTCGACGACGACGACGAAGAGTCCGAGATACGTGCTACGCACAACAGCCACAAGAAGCTACTTGCCGATCCCAACCGAAACGGAATCATTGGCAATTCTCAATGGGATCCGACCAGCAGAAATCGTGTTGCCATGGAACGTCGCGATGATGTGCAACCTTCGGCCAGGGGAGCGGACGTTCGCCAGGACGACACCCAGTTGTGGTTCCTCCAGCACCACGATCAACGATACGAGAATCGAATGCCAAGAAGAACCGCAGACCCTCCTCGGCCCGAAGTGTTCCGCACCTCCCCAGAGCACCCCCACATAGTCGAGAGTGCCAGCGACACCAAGTCGATTTCCTCGAGTATTTTGGGCAAACGTATTTCGAGGCGCAAGTCCGTATCCTTCAATCTTCCAGAGGACGAGGACGATTCCGTATCCAATCGAGCCTCCCACGCTGATCCAAGGTTACCCTTCGCCCCCGAAACGATTTCTTCCCAAGCCGTGGCTCATCGGTCGGTCGTGGCGCGGAAAGAGCTTGCCCGCCTTTCTCAGAGGCAAGCTACCTTGATGGCACAGGGTGCCAAACTTGCTCACAATTACCAGAGCAACAACAGAATGTGAAATGACATGTCCAACTTGTAGCTAATAGTATAATACGTAATGATTAGCTGACCTACGGGATAGTGCTTGATGCATGTAGTACTAGCTAGTGCCCATTGAGAGTTACCCAGCCAATTCTAGATAGTACAGTACGGACAAGGGGGGGATCAAAGGTTGAGTTGTCCTAGATTCAGTAAGGCTTGCAGAAGAAGGTGAGGGGATCTAATTATCCATAGAAGAGTGGGAAGGGGAAAGGAGGGGAGCGAGGTCAAACGGAATTGCCTAAAGAGATGGAGATCAGCAATTCGTACTGTACAGTTGTACTGGCCATCAACAGTGTGAAGAGTGTCGTCATGATGCATGATGCATTGATGTTTTGTGGTGGGGCCTCAGGGATTGGGCCAGTCCCGGTTGCTTTCTTGACTGGCTGCGTATTTTGGTCTGGCTGCCTGTCCAATTTTCTGGCACCCAACCCCCCTTTGGTGTCTCTTCTGCATCGATCCTTGAGCTATCATCAAGATGCCAGCCTTCAGTCGGCGGTCTTTATAGGATCTCGCTACATACAGTACGCAACTAAGGTAGCAAGCACCATGGAAGCTCATCAACAATCACAATCATCACTGCAGGGAGCAGCAGATGATCTGCCGTCTGCTGCCATGCTTCAGAATGAACGAGAGGTTGTGAGGAGGGCTGGACGTCAAGCAATATCAGCCTTTCTGGACGGACACAACTGCTTCTCCGTACTGAGAGCAAGTGGCAAAGTAGTTGTCTTTGATACTCGCATTCCCATCCAGCTGGCGTTTTACGCTCTGGTCGAACATGGTGAGACGAATATACCGACGCTGATGGGGCTACCCCACGTAAAGATTGTACCGGACTCTACAGGACTTGATACCCCTGTCGGCTCTTGTTGTTTGCTCACTATATATTTATTTGTATCCATTTCCTTTGTGTGTACGTAACCCTATCTCTCTTTATATCTGTATAATAAAAGACATGCAAGCTGCTCCTCTGTGGGATCCTTCGATATGTCAGTTTGTGGGTTTGTTGACAGTGACGGATTTTATTGACATTTTGAGGCACTACAGAAGCACCAAGGCCGATGTGTCTACCCTGGCCACTCGAAGTATTGCCGATATACTCAACGATCCCATCATAAAGGAGTCGGTACTGCCTAGACACGAGGGATTCAATGGAGCGGATTCTAGCACAACTCTGAAACAGGCATGTCGGCTGCTGCACGGACACAACCTGGATTTCTTGCCCATTCTCATGCCAGAAGATATGAGGGTTCTGGCCTGTATTACATACACCAACATTCTGGAACATTTAGTCACCCATTTCAGAGAACAAAGACGGCTTTTTGATGATACCATACACGACTTGAGGATCGGGACATATCATGGAGATTTGATCAAGGTAGCACCCCAGCAGTCCCTGGCAGAAGCCTTGGAGCTGATGCATCAACATCGATTGTCGGCGTTGCCTGTGGTGGATAAAGGAACCGACAAGATTGTTGGTGTCTACAGCCGATCGGACATTACGTTTCTGACCAGAGCAACCGATGCCGAAGACGCTGTAGCCAATTTGGACATGACCCTCAGTGATGTTCTCAGTCAACAGCGAACGGATGTAACCACTCCCGATGCTTTGCACACTTGCAAGATGGGGGATACCCTACAATCGATCTTTGAATACTTTGCTCAGATACGCTTCAATCGTTTGTTTGTAACAGATGCGGAAGAGCGCGTCGTGGGGGTTGTAAGCGCACGAGATTTGGTGGCCTATTTCTTGAATGAGAATAACTAACACTCTCAATAAGTGTAAGTGTACTACTACTAAACTTAATAAAAAAGTGAACATGGTGGAGTGAAGGGGCAAGGTTTTTGACCTTCTTACGTGTACGTGTGCACAGGCGAGGTACATCTACGAGTGTTGGTGACGAGTCCGCAGGCTAGCTATTAATAATAGAGTAGGTGGCATGGGCAGCTGCTTTTTGCGCCCAGTTCGGAGGGCTTGAAATAATCGAATCGAACAAATCATTCAATCCAAGGTTACCCATGCAAACTCAATGTTTGGCACAGCAATGGCCTGGTGCTCGAGAGTACTGCCAAATTCACCTCGTAAAAACGTGGTCGACTTCGGGAAACGGCACTGCAGGTCTCGAGATGCAGGCCAAGGACACCACTCCCGACCAGCCCAGGCGAGTCGAGTCCGTCCAATGGGATATTTTCAAGAGGATGCAAAGAGAGCCCCCAAAAGTACCACTAGCCAGCTTTTTTCTTCGTGATTAAAGTGGGGAACGAGTTTGAAATCAGGCAATGGGAAGTTTCTCTGCACGTTGCCCCGCCAATTGCTGTGGGCTAAATTCTTCCTTTTGTGCCGCCTAAAAAGGACACGAAAAACCCGCTTCTCCTGAGCAAGGCGATCACAATTAAAAACCAAACAATATCTGGCAATCGTCTCATGTCTATTGTAGATTATTTAAATGAAGTGACCAAACAAGACAAAAGCACGATATTGGGAGGTTGGTCCTTTTTTACAATTTGCACCATCTGGGTTGTCAAATAACATCATTGTCCAACCAATGCTGTTCCGACCCGACAGTGACCACCGTTCCTCCCGCACCTCCTCCAACAATCCACGGCACTAAAAAATAATACGGGTAGTACTGGAGTAATGGTGCCTAAACTCCCAGGCCGTTCAGAAAGCCATGATAGTTTTCTTGGGCTCTCTTTAAATCCAGGTAGCACTGCTGGACCTTCTGAGTTGTTTCCGCGGATGGTGACCCGTTATTTTCATTGTGAGCGGCTTGGGCAGTTTGTTCCAGCGCCATCGAAGCGTATCGAAGCTGCGCACACATGAGGTTCGCAGAGGCTCCCTTGATCACATGGGCGGCTCGTTGTATCCTTTGAAAGGGGGCATCCGTAGGATTCTGTTACAATAAAATAGAGGGAGAAAAAGACAGGAAAATAAGATGGTGGTCTCATTCAACCGAAACCGATAGAAACCCAGAGGTATCACGGTATTATCTCAAACCTCAACAAAGCACAAGCACGAACCTGAATAATTTGCTCGATGTTCGACACTTGGGTATCCGTCTCTTGGCGCAAATCGGCCAATAGCTCACGAAGAAACTCTTCGTCATCTCCCGTCTGCTGCATCGCCTCGGTCCAGTCAATTACATCCGGTGGAGGGCCCGACATGGTTCAAGTGGTAACTATGAAAAATTTGGATCTTGGGTACCCTCCTTCCTTACTCGGGTCTGTATCTCTCTCGTCGTCGTTTCGTGAATATAATATCTCTTCGTCTTGCAACCACCCTGCTGTCCTCCTGCTTCTGGCTATTGGATAAGCTCTTGTAACGCCGATATCTCCTACTACCCGAAGCGAGGTAGTCGTACTACTGGCTCCTCAGTTTGGCTTCTCACCGCTGTGCGGTTTGCTGGGGTTGTTGTTTCCGTTTCCTTTGCTGCTGTTTGCTGAAATAGTGGCACGCATGGCCCCTCCAAAACGCCAGGTAGGGAATAGCCTTGTTAGCCCTCCCCCTTCTGCATCACCCGAGACCCGAACCAATTTTCTTCCTGAAGTTTTCGTTTTCCGCCGCCTCCCGGATCTGAAGTGTCTTCAAGCAACCAATCAATGGCTACGATATCTCATTGTTACCACGATGTCCGCTTTCATGCTATTATTTTAAAAAATTGAATCGAATCATCAGTGTTGGGCTGTTTTCTAGTAGAAACATGTACAGTATAGGTCTACCAATGAAGCTACCGCCTGTGCATGATACTGCTGGAAATAATACTGTATTGGACTTGATGGCTTTTTGTAGATCTGCATTTTAAACAGCTGAAAAGCTACCGCTAACATGGCTAACATCCCAAGAAGTGAGAATCTTCCTCTGGAAAGCTATGCTTGCAATATATAAAATTTAATACTTCCTGAATTAGAAATTTGGTCCATCAACTTGCCAACTATGATTGAAACTCACTTGTTGAGCTCGTGTTGACATGGTCGAATGATTTGTTTGAATGAATGGAATCGAATCAAAATAAATGGTGAAAGTTTTTGAACCAGACAGGACCAGTAGTATCACCAGTGTTGCTGTATTAATTAAATATCTACGGAGGTGGGGTATCTCAATGGGAATACGAAACTCTTTTCTCTTTTCTAAAAGAGGGGGGCCACCTCAACAATTCTATTCCATTAATTTCATTATTGATTTGAAGGGCAACTAGGACATTACTTATTTAAACCTCCGTATTGAAGCCAGCTTGCCTCTAAACCTCCGCATTGAAGACAGGTTTCCTCTAAATACCGCGTTGCCGGCACGTCGCTGTCGTTGTTGTTGACAATTGAGTCACAGCAATTCATGACTGGTGCTCTGATGGCTCTAAACCCTGCTCACCAAACCTCCTCAACAAGGTTTGCTGGAAGGTCTTTGGTGGTACTGCCCCTTGACCACCATGGCGTGAGTACGAGTGCCTGGGGACCTTATTGTTGTTGGTGCGTCAGAGCAGGGACGACCTGGAAGCTTTCAGGCGGGAAGGTAGGCAATGGGTACCCACACTCCCGCTCGTTGCGAACTGAGCGAAATCGAGCCGCTTGTACACTGTTGGGTGAGACTGTTGCTAGATATTCTATGGAGTACTGTAGTAGTTCCCCGGCTGACGGGTAAGGGTCCTCGGGGCTTGCCTATCTGGGAGGAAAGTTCTTGCTGTGGTGGTCTCTCTGCTACGGACAGTGTGTGGTTGGGTTGGGGCTAGGTAGAAAAGAACAGATCAGGCCATCGTCCTAGGCGTCAACTATGAGCCTAGTAGATCACAGAACCACACAGCGGGACATCCACATTGCAAGTCAAACCAAGTCAAGTCAAGTCAAGCAACAGAGGAGCAGATGGCTTTGTGATGCGTCCTCCTCCTGGAATGCTCTGCATCAAAACGCTTTCAACATCTGAGGTACCGGTACAGTAAATGCCTAGACACACGATAGGCGTCCGTGCGTCGTAGTTTATAATACACGGACAACGAACGAAAACTTGTGATGAAACCAATGGAGGGTTTCTCGGCACCATCCCGGGTCTAAAAGCAACGATTCCGGGTCGCAAGGCTCTCGAGTACGGCACGGCACGGCTTTGGGCAACATGAGTGGAGCCCTATAAGTCATTTTGACACCTGCTCTGAAAGGATGGCTTTGATCCAATATTCAGCGCCTTTATTAAAAGTGGAAGTCTGGGATTGGGTGTTTGAGTTAGCTCCGTAGCTGCATCTAGACTAATACCACTGCAACAATATCGCTGCCAACTACCTCGGCCACCCCTCCAGTTTCAAGTCTAGTGCTTCCCCCAACCAAATGGCATGCTGTGTATGATCCATATAATCCGTGTCTGTGGAATGTGGATGAATCAAGATGGACAAGTTTCCACGTTGCTGTTCCAAAAAGTCACGTACTTGTATGAGATTGCGTCGATGTTCGTAACTTCCAAAATCGGCTTCCCACATGGGAACGGGATGTGGTCCAATGGGTTTGCCTTTTGGCTCGTAGAATCGCATCCATTCTCCAAACTGCTTCTGTAGTTTGTCACGAAGCACCATGGCTTGTTCTCGTTGTTCGGGTGTCGAATAGTAGACATGAACGTCGTAGGGATTCCGTTCTTTCAACGTGTATCCCAAAGAGTTGTCATTATTTGCTGCAGACATTCTTGGAATTGTCGGTAGTAGCCGAGTGCGGAAGTGATACTGGTGAGGGATGACGAAGCTATTGATGACAGACCAAGGGATGATCAGAATGGCAGCTCTCAAATCAAACATCCGCATCGTGGTGCCTTCTTTTGCTTCTACTTCGAAGAAAATGATGGATGGATACTCACTTTGATGAGCACTGTCCCTAATTTGTGTATTAGAGTTAGCGATTTGGTGTCACGTTTCCCTGCGTGTCTGACAAAATTGATGGCTCTGGTGCTTCTTCAAGGAGGAGACGAAACCCAAGGCAAAGATCCACCGCACGGCTCGACTTCATTTATTCAACAAGCAATCCATAGATGGCAGTAAAGCGTTGCGGACAACGGCAAAGAGACAAAAAGAACAACAACAAACTAAAACTAAGCAACGAAAAACGAGTATAGAACCATGAGCGCGGAAGCTCCCACGAAAGAAATGGAAGACCTCAAAGTGAGCGCCACCAAGGGCACGGCCAAGCGCGATGCGCTTCGAGCGAATGAAATTGAGGTTCAAAAGCTGTGGGAAGAACAGGGAGCCTTTGAAGCCAACCCATCGGATGGAGGCGGCAAGGAATCCTTCATGGTGACATTTCCTTACCCCTACTCCAATGGTCACTTGCACATTGGTCATGCCTTTTCTTTGACCAAGGCCATTTTTCGGGCGCAATATGAACGGCATTTGGGCAAAAATGTCCTTTTTCCATTTGCCTTTCATTGTACTGGAATGCCCATTCAAGCGGTGAGTACTGTATTCATCCTATCAGAGCAGTGCTGTGGGATTTGGGTTTGGCTAACACACACACTTTTTCGCTCGTCTATCATCTATCAATTTGTCTTTTTACAGGCCGCGAACAAGTTGAAAACGGAAATTGAATCCTTTGGTTGTCCACCGCAATTTCCCGAAGACGATCCTGCAGTCCGTGCCAAAATGGAAGCCGAAATCGCCGCCAAGGAAGCGCAAAAGGCCAAAACACAGGACAAATCCAAGGGAAGCAAAACGAAACTGGTCGCCAAAACCGGAACTGGAATTGTGCGACAGTGGAAGATCCTCCTCAAAATGGTCCCCGAAGCCGAAATCCCACAATTCGTCGATCCCAACCATTGGCTCATGTACTTTCCACCTATTGGAGTCACTCATCTCAAAAACTTTGGAGCGGGAGTCGACTGGAGGCGAGCCTTCATCACCACGGCCGTCAATCCCTACTACGATGCCTTTATTCGATGGCAATTTGAAGTCTTGCGAGAAAAGAACAAAATTCTGTTTGGAAAACGCAACAGTGTCTTTTCGCTTGTCGATGGACAAGTGTGTGCCGATCACGACCGATCCAGTGGAGAAGGCGTGGGACCGCAGGAATACGTCCTCATCAAAATCAAAGTCTTGGAACCGGACCATGGACAAGCGCGGCACGACAAAATGGCCAAATTGTTGAAGGATCACCCCAATCGAACCGTCTACATGGTACCCGCTACGCTTCGTCCCGAAACCATGTATGGACAGACCAATTGCTTTGTCTTGCCATCGGGAGAATACGGCGCCTACTTGATTGATGCCACGGATGAAATCTTTATCATGAGTGCGCGATCGGCACGAGGATTGGCATGTCAAGTGTACAAGGGAAACGAGTACTTCAACAAAGAGTTTGGAAAGTCCACCTGTTTGGAAACGTTTTCGGGAGACGAACTTTTGGGACTTCCCTTGAAGGCACCCTTGGCAACCTACGAAAAGGTATACACATTGCCTCTTTTGACCATTAGCATGGATAAGGGAACCGGTGTTGTGACGTCGGTGCCCAGTGATGCTCCCGATGATTACGTGTCCCTCAAAGCCTTGCAAGACAAGCCCGAGTTCCGCGCCAAGTTTGACATTACTGATGACATGGTCGTGCCTTTCGAAGTGGTGCCCATTATCTCCATTGAAGGTTACGGGGATGCGTCCGCGGTATTCATGTGCGAAAAACTCAAAATCAAATCGCCCAATGACAAGGCCAAATTGACGCAGGCCAAGGACGAAACATACTTGAAGGGATTCACCATCGGGGTCATGCAAATTGGACCTCACAAGGGCAAAAAGGTCAGCGAAGCCAAGCCCATTATCAAACAAGAAATGATCGATGCCGGTCAAGCCGTCTTGTACTTTGAACCCGAATCCAAGGTCATGTCACGTACCAATGACGAATGTGTCGTGGCAGCCACTGATCAGTGGTACTTGGCGTACGGAGAAGAATCCTGGTCCACCGCGGTCCGAAAGCATGTCTTGAACGCGGACACGTTTGACGCCTACGATCCTGCCGCCTTGTCTCGGTACGAGTATGTGATTGGGTGGTTGAAGGAATGGGCTTGTACTCGACAATTTGGACTCGGAACCTTCTTGCCGTGGGATCCTGTTTGGGTTATTGAGAGTCTGTCGGACAGTACCATCTACATGTCCTACTACACTATTGCACACCACTTGCAGGGATCTGGCAACTTGAATGGCGAAACGGACAAGTCGCCCAATAAGATTGACCCGAAACATCTCACCAAGGATGTCTTTGACTACATTTACCGCAACAAGGCCATGCCGGAGAATTGTCCCATTCCAGCAGAGACCATGAACAAGATGCGAGATGAGTTCCGATACTGGTATCCCATGAACTTGCGCGTCAGCGCTAAGGATTTGATTCCCAACCATCTTACCATGGCTCTTTTCAACCACGCGGCCATTTGGGAAGAAGAACCCGAATTGTGGCCCAAGGGTTACTACTGCAATGGGCACGTATTGGTTGACGCCGAGAAGATGAGTAAATCCAAAGGAAACTTCTTGATGATGGATGAGACTGTGGAGAAGTACACGGCCGATGCGACACGCTTTGCTTGTGCAGATGCCGGTGACTCGTTGGACGATGCCAACTTTAGCCGCGAGACCGCCGATAGCACCATTGTTTCCTTGTCGAACGAGGAGACATGGATCACTGAGACTTTGGCCGCCACAGATCTGAGAAAGGAAGGAGAGATGAACTTTATGGACAAGGTCCTTTTGAACGAAACAAACCGCCTTGTCGGCGAGGCAGGAAAAAATTATGCCGCCATGCAATTCCGTGAAGGATTGAAGCAGGGATGGTTCGAGATGCTTTTGGCTCGAAATGACTACAGAAGTTGGTGTGCCGACAGTGGTATCAAAATGCACGAGAAGGTCGTTCGGACGTGGGTCGAAAGTATCATCGTTGCCATTTGCCCTGTCTGTCCACACTGGTATGTTGTCGTCACCGTGGCTTCTGTCTTGATTGTTTTGGTTTGTCTCATGTGATGACTTGTATGCAAATTCAATAGGTCGGAAAAGCTATGGAAGGCAATTGGAAAAGAGGGCCTGGCTGTGAAGGCACCGTGGCCCACTCTTTCTGAAGTCGACAAGTTGTTGACGCGTCAGGCCAAGTTCCTTCGCGATTCGCTCAAGACCTTCCGTGCCCAAGCTGGAAAGGCGAAGAAGGGTGCCGAAAAGTCAACAATTCTCGTCACAGACTCCTATCCTGATTTCAAGGTGAAGGCCTTGTTGTGGATGCAAGAAAAGCACGACCCAGACGCCGGTTTCCCCGCCACATTCATGAAGGAGCTCAAGGGTTGGACGAACGAGAATGTCAGTGACAAGAAGCAGATCAAGTTCACGATGCAGTTTGTATCCTTTGTGAAGAAAGAGGTGGAAGACGTGGGTGCGGCAGCGATGGAAACGTCTCTGCCTTTTGATCAGATGGAGATCTTGAAGGGCAGCGTACAGTACATCAAGACGCAGCTCAACTTGAAAGAGCTTGACTTTGTGAAGCTTGGCGTCGATGAAGCCGAGGTACCGGATCGTATCAAGGAAAATGTTAGCCCAGGAAAGCCTTACTTGTGGATCAGGTAGTGGTGCCCTCAGTGGCGACGAACCTACAAGCTAGTTTAAGGTTAAAAACCGCATTTACACTGATGCTTGTGCCAAGTAGTGAGTACAGTCTTTCCCAGCTGGCAAGGAAGTAGTGGCAATCGAGCCATTGAGGATAAGCAACGCACTCGACTCGATGGCGCAGAACTGGGATACCGGTAGCACCCAACGTTGAAAGCTTCTACGGTACCGCAAACTCTCTAGACTATGAACCTATGAACTAGTAGTTGATAACGCTACTCCTACCGGCACGCTGGCGGACGTCAACACCGATGCCGGTGGGTCAGGGCTCCGTCTCCTCCTGGTGGTTGTTCCCTCAGTGCTACGAGCGACGGCCGAAGCACCCACCGGGGGATCCCGAATACCTTTGATCATACCTTGATGCCCCCCTCCTTTGCCAATGCCACAGTCAAGTCCAGCTGCCTCTGCTGCCGCCACTGCTGCTGCCGTTACTGCTGCGGCATCCACAGGCGGCGAAAAGAGTTGCTTACTGATTGGCACGACACCCGGCAGAGATGACCTCGACAGCTCACGTTCATGCTTCAGAAACGTCTCTCGGGTGTGACTCTCATCTCGAAGCAACGTTTCAATCGCATCCGTGACAATGGTATGTGTGGCATTCTCCACTGCCCGTTCCACCAGTGGCGTCGACGCCTCTACCTCGTCTTCCACGCCGGCCTTTAGGTTGAGCTTATCGGTAGTGATCGCCAGAGCAAGACTACGGACATTGTCTTCCATCTCGGTCATTGCAGCAGCACTGGCGTCAGCACTGCTCTCGGTGTCGGCACTATCACTCTTGGAGACGGCGGTGGGTATCTGTGAAACGGAGTTTGCTGCCTTTATCAGAGGCGACATGGACGTAGAGCTACCATCGTCCTCGATGGAGAGTCTTTGCTTGGACGTTGCGGTGGATGACTCTGATTCTTTCCGCACATGGCTGGGGGAGAGTCGTCTCTTGCTGGCTGTTATGGTTGATTCATCACTGAGTGTGTATTCAATCCTGGCCCTATCAGGTAGTGCCGATAGCCTCACTTCAGTGGGACTCTCTCCAAAGCAAATCCTCGAACACTTGTCCCAGTCCCCCTTGGCGAACATGGGATGTCTGAATATCTCAATACCCGGACACTTATAAGTTCGATTGCCTCTACAGCTGCCTTTATCAATCCTAGAGAATCCCCAACTGTGTATCTTCTTCAGGAACTCATCAAAACATCTAACGGAGAAGTAGGTCAACATTGTAGTCTCTGTGAACTCCTTTCGCCTAACAGCGAAGAACTTGCCGTCGGGGAGAAAGGTGATGACATCAGCATTGGCATTGTCTTCTAGCACTGTCATGAGTATCTCAGGGAAGGATTGCTTCCTCAATGCAGCTGCTGAACCAGGCTCAGGTGCCAGCGTGGGGGTCGTATTCAAGGACGATGATCCGCGAATGTTGCTTTGGTCCAGGTAGAGTTGGTTGTTTGTCATCATTGACGAAGAAGTGTGAAACCCATGAGGCGTATAGCGACGAGGAGTGGTAAGCTTGCTGTTGTTGTTGTTGTGCCTTGTTCTAGCACCAGCATTCTCATCGTTGTAGTCACTGCCACCTGGAGCCTCTTCACTAACCTGTCCCAGCTGAGAAGTGGCAGCTTGGATCAATGCCGACAGACCACTGAAGGGAGACCTCGAAGAGTCACTCCCTCTCCGTGAACCAGTGCTGCTACGTCTAAAGACGCTATTAGGGACCTCAGATTCACTTTCAGCCGATGTCGCTCTTGGTAAGGACGTCGCAGCATCCACGTCAGGTTGCAGGCTCATTGCCATCATTTCTTTTGGCGGACAGTTGTTCTTGGATGTTGCAATCAAGCAATCAGCGCGAGAGATGAGATCGAACTGCGCTATCCTGCTCCTGTAACTAACTCTTGTTCCTTCACACTCCAGCCTAGTAGAAGCCATCCATTGCCTGTAGAGATCCCACAAGAGAGACAGAGAGAACAAGCACACACTTCTTCTGTATTATCCTTCGACAAACGGTATGTGTGTGGGCGGGATCAAGAGATCAACAAAAGCGGTAGGAAAGACTGGAGGCATTGATGTCTGCTACCTCAGTGATTGGTCGGAGACATTATGACTCTTTTCAGAAAGCTCTCGGGACGCTTCTCGGCAACGGTCAAATCGTAGCGACACACAAGCCACTCCGTCTTGAAAATGCTCCACACACAAGCCCCTCCAGATTTTCGTTGTGAAACACAGTTCGGGAGGACACACATTGATACAAGAGAGAAAGCATTCTTGATTTTGGAACGATGAAAGATACCCAACGTGGTACGGTACTTGCAGCACCCCTTACAGCTCTGGTCCATTTAGTTCGTGGCTGGAGAAGTAGTACATGTAATAGCTAGCTAACTGGCTTCTGGTAGCTCTGAGGCTGGTCTCAGCCAAAATTAAAATGACACAAGCCTGAATTGAACCAAGAGAATAGCTGGGGCATGAGCAGATAGTTAAAATACCAAACAGAGCTCGTCAACTTTCATTGCTATAGATTATCGAGTACTAATGGCTTGTATGCACAGGTTGACATTCTTCTGAAGTAAAATGGATGGAGCTTTCTAGAAGTATCTCCAGGGTCCAGGGTCTACATTTACCAGCTGCCGGTATGCATACTAGTATGCATATCATACATGTATGTATGCATACCCGTAGTAGATTTGCCGGAACCAAATGCCTCTTTTTCGTGTCGTCATTTTCCGGTATTTTGACCAGACTTTCCAGAAACGACGTTAATCCGTAGCTTCTTAGATGGAAGCCAGCCCGACAAGTCTCGCGGCTGGCACCCTTCTCGGAACCGAGCTTGTTTGCCATCCCAAGAACTTGACTAGACTATTACCCGTATGCCGCAACAGGGGCACCGCCAATGCCACGAGCTGACAGCAAAATTCTTCCCCACACTTACATGGCTGTCCAGCTTGTGCCACCCCGAACCCAGGGCGATGGAGTTGAGAGACTTCCCTTTTAAAATAGTCTTCTGCAACGGCTTTTTGCATTCCCTGTGTGGTTTGGGTTGCTGGTCCTTGTGTACTACTAGCTACTTGCTGCCGGTAGTGGGGGCTATCAAATACTGTATTGGCTTGGGGGATGGAGTTGCGCCATGTGTTGGCCCAGAGAATTTTTCCTCTTGCGGATCTAGCCAGGTGCAAGATGGAGCGACTACTATAGCATAAGGAGTATACAGTGTACTTTGGTACCATCCGTGTTCTGACTAAAAAAAAAAAGATTCTTTTCGATTATGATTATCATAGCGCATCCTGGGTGTAAGTGGATGACCTACTTTGCTTGCTTTGTTCGTTTGGTCGCCCTTGGGCTGAACCCCCAAGGCTATAAACTTCTTTTGTGTTTTTTCAATTTGGTTTCATAGATTTGCTCGCCTTTGGGCTGTTGCTTTCCCAAAGGCTCACAAGTTGTTTTCGGTTCGTTCTGGTTTCGTGTTCCCTGCTTCAAGCTCAGCGAACCGAGTATTGTGCTCAGTGAACCAAGTATTGTGCCAATTCCCTACTTTTGGCTTCCAGAGCCGACATCCGCAACGAGTGCATTTCTCCCGAGAAGGAGGAAGACGGAACGGCTTCCACCATCATCGGGGTTGGTCCGCCCTGGGTGATGGGGATGAATGGGGTGGGTGTCACGATGTGGGAAGGGTAATGATCGTAGAGGAAGGACGGAGGAGCCGAAGACGTTGGAGACTCAACAGACTCAACAGGGCCCGGAGAGACAGGGCCTTGTTGAGTGGTAGTTGTTGGGGGGAATGTGGTTTCAGGAGCCTGCGACCACGAGAAAGAGGAGCCACCCGATGATGCAGTGGCTGGAAAGCTGGACTTACCCCAAGTCTCAGGACGCACGGAGAAGCCAAAGGCCTGAGCTGGCTTCGCCGGTACAGGAAAGCTGAATTTGCTTTCGTCCGTTCTGGGAGTTTCAAGGGACGGCGAGTTTTGGCGGCATGATGTTGTGTTTCCGGACCTCGCGGTGCTCGCGGAGGAGCCACAGGCAGACCCAAAGCTGCTGAACGTGTTAGTATTTTGCTCCCCGAAGATGGACTGGGATAAACTTTGGCCTGATCTGGGGAAGCTGAACGATTTCCCGAAACTGGGCAAGTTCCCGTCAGTCGCGGAGAGTCCAAAAGACAACTTGGCTTGCGCATCCGAAAAGCCGTTTGCTTCCGCGCGAGGCCTGAATGTGCCGGGTTTTTGACCGCTCGCCCCAAAGATGGAATGGGACGGACTTTGATCTGCCTTGGGAAAGCTGAACGATCCCCCCAAATTGGCCTGACCGCTCACACGGCCACCAAAGATAGAATCGGGCGAACTTTGATCTGCCTTGGGAAAGCTGAACGATTGCTCAAAACTAGATCCGTTGCCCCCATCAGTGGTCGGGCCAAAAGAGGTCTGATTCCTCCTTGGCTCTGGCTGGGGCGTGAATGGGCTGGGACTTGGGTTGCAACTTTTGGCTCCAAAAATGGATTGGGTTGGGCCCTGGTATGCCATGGCGAAGCCCGGCGGTTTCCTAAAGATGGGACCGTTGTGCACTCTAGTGCCAAACGTCGGTTCACGAGGAGTTTGACCAGTCACGGCGGCCGCACCAAAGGCGTTCCCTCGTGTTGTCGCGTTTCTCGCGCCTTTGTCAAACCATGTCGCGCTCTGGAATGGACGATTGTTTCCGAATGCGCCCAACAGATCGGTCAATGGCTCGGCTTGTTTACAATTCTTCCCTTTACCTGGTTGGTGCAACGCCCAAAACTTGCAGTGGTGGCAATAATGGTAGACCTTCCCGTTTCGTCGCTTTACGCTCGGATCGTTTGGACCCGGTGCCACCAAATTCCATGGAGTTGCGCCATCATTTGTGGCTTCTTTCTGGTGGTTCTTCCTTGCGCCTTTCTTCGTTTTCTTTCCCTTCTTTTTGTTTTCGATGAATACAACGTTACTCAGATCCATCTTGCCTCTTCTTCCTGTGCGGTGTGGTTGTTTAGGTTGTTGCTTGATGCTTGTTGTTTATTTGTGAGACGAAGAAAATGCGAAAAAAACTATCCTCTGAAGCACGTTTGAGGCTTTAAGTCCCCTAAAGTCAGGTTGAACCACGTTTGGGTAAGTCACGTGCATCAAAGTCTCTGAGAACCCAGACTGAATAAGACTTATCAAGCTTCCCTTGACCACGTGCCAAGTGTGGTACTGTACAGTACTATTTCTCTACACACGACATTTAAACATGGACTACCGCATGCCACAACCAAATTTTTCTCTGGGCTCACAGAGACTCGTTTAAATCCTCGTCTGGCCTGTCAAAAGCGCCACACTACGAAACTAGCCAGCTTGCCGCTGCTTCTTGGCGGAGGCTAGCTGAGCCATGGTTTCACCTTTTGCTTTCAGGTGTACCGGTATGCCATGCCCAATTCCGGTAAGCAGCACCTGTGGCCCCACATGCTAGCTCTAGTAAATTTAACTTAAATTTATCGGAAACAGCTGTGGCCCAGCCAGTCCCTCATTGAGCCTATTTGCACCGCCCCTTGGCACAACGTCTTGCAATGTAGCATTGTACAGCTCAGCATAGTTTCCCACAGAGGCAACACAGTCTCGGAACATTTGCTTCAGCTTTTCACCAAACAAAGAAACAATGGGCATGTCAACAGAGGTTTCAGCTGTAATGCCTTCCTCCTCTGCAAAGATGACTCCCATCACTATCCAATAGACGAAGTCATTCCATTGTGGATCTGTGTTGAGCATCATAAAGGCAAACGCATCTCTGCTTTCATTGTCGTAGTAGTAGGGTGACGAGAACTTGTAACCAAGACCTGTTGTTGGTTCCTGGATGCCAGCCTGAAGGGTTACTCTAGCACCAGCCACAACATCCACTGAACCATTGGCCAAAGCACCATATGCATCAGTCATGTCTTGCACCTCCACAAACACGACCCTGCTGGAATCACCAGCAAACAATGATGCTGCCAATCCTCGGCAAAACTCAATGTCAAAGCCAGACCATAGAGAATCGTAGGAATCAATCTTGGAAGAGGATACAAATGCTGGGCCTTTGGTTGGCATTACTCCACAGACAAGGTAGTTTTGCTCCAGAATCAGCGACAGGGTGCCATTAGCAACAGGACTTGGTCCAAGCTCAGTAATCTTCCCAAGTGGTATGGAGTACAACAGACCTGTTGACGACTCTTTGTCATAGACTGTGTTGAGACCATCTTGCCTTGGCACCTTGTCTTCTATGTGAAGACTGTAGAGGTCACCGTGATGCCCAAACTCTGCAATCAAGGTTGTCAGAGAAGAGATCAGGTCTAGCTCAGCTTCAGTACCTTTGTTGGATAAAGCCAAGTCCGCCATTTTGTCAGATTGATCTTTGGAGATGTTGTTTGCCTCTGCCAAAAAGAAGGCATTGACAGCAATGTCTGCCAGAGCTGACCACTCTGGGTCATCCTGTCTTGTCACCAGGCACAAGGGCTCCTTGGAAAAAAGCTTTGCACCTAACTTCCAGTCCACTTCCCAATCATCAGTTACATAGACTGCACTGAACTTGGTGAGGAAGATTGGCTCTGACGCAATAACATTGCAAGTTCCTGACAGGAACCTTTCGACTAAGGTGTCCGTGCCATTGTATGGGACAATGGTACCACCCCCCAAAACTTCAGAGAGCACTGCAAGGTGAGTTGTACCTGCTGCAGCACAAATCTGCAGACCCCTACAGTCGCCACGGAAATCCTCCAAGTTGTCTGCACAGTCCACATATGTTGGCACACCTCCAAATGCCAATCCTGAATAGAAATACGGGGTGGAAAATGTAAAGGAAGATCTTGTGTTTGCTTCATAGACATCGCGCCCCCTGTAGCAAATGGACAACGGAAAGAGAATATGATGAGAGTAAGTCACCTGCTGAAAAGCATTGGTGAAGCCAGACTTGATTGCTACAGTCAACATACATAGTATGGGTTGTGCCCTCTGTAGTGATATCCACTGTTCCATCGGCTAACAACTCGAATCTAGAAAAGGGAGTCACCCAAACTTGTTCAAATTTGTCAGGATCTCCAAAGACCAAAGAAGCCATCACCCTGCACTGCTGTACATTGAAACCGGCTAGTTGGTCTGATTGTTCCGGATCAATGATGCTGGCAAAGCCAAGATTGTTCATTCCACATCGTACATAGCCACGTTCCCTCACAACTTCCAGTGTAGGTCTTTTGGTGTTTTCCATGTTGTTTGTAGTGACATCATCCTTCTCTTTGGAAAGACCAAGCCCCAGACCCAGCACTAGTACCAGGAGAAGCACCAAGCTAACCACGCCACAAAGAATGTGTTTCATGGAATTGGGTTCTTTATTGTCGCCCATCCTTTCATCTATGACATCAGGAACTTGTACAGGAATCACATCTGCCTGTACCGCCTCTTGCAGGATAGTGTTTCTGATTTCTTCCTCGATCTGTGCTCTTTCAAGAAGGTCGTCTTGAACTGCCACAGCTTCCACAATGGGATCTTGTGGAAGTTGTTGCTGCGGCATTCCTGCAATGGCGACAGTTGTGTCGTTACGAGTGGTACCAACGGTTCCAGTTTCCAAATCGTTCACTGGTGGTGGACCCTCGTCGAATTCGTCCTCGTCGTTCTCGGGGTCGTCCGAAGCCGCACCGTCCGGGCCTCGCATGCTAAAGGCTCCCGGTGATGAGACCATTCGCGAAATCGCGGTGGTTGCCGACTGCGTCTCACCAGTGGTGGTGGTAGTAGCTGCATCAGAGGGTTTGGTAGGCTGCTCCATCTCTGTTTCCACACGAGCCTCCTGTTTGCTATCGGAATCTGGCGGCATCTCCTCGGAGACTGCTGCCACTGGCGCTTCTGGAGGAATCTCAGTAGACACGAAATCGGACTCGACGTCGTCAGGCAACACATCTGCTGCTGTTGCCTCGTTTCTTGGGCGCTGGGCGACCTGAGGGTAATCGTCGCCAGTCGATGTTGATCGTTTGCTCGCGGGAGGATTTGCCATCAAGATCTCCTTTTGAAGTCGTTCGATCTCGTGTGCCTCATACACATCGTTGGGGGAAGTCTTCTCTTCGTCTTTGCTGCCTGGAAGCGACGTCATGGTGGTGGTGGATGCTTAACTTCTTGTGCGCGACCTCCAACAAACAACAATGACAAACAACATGCAGGGGATAAAGACAACGTTCGAACTTTGGGCAGATGGGTTGAGTTGTGGATGTGGGTTGTGGGTGGAAGTGACCTCTCCATCTCACCCACAAGCAACAACAAGGAGAGAAAGGGAGCAAAGGGAGAGCTCAAACAACCTCACAGCTCACAGACCTTCAGCCATAGATCACCACTACCGGTATCACCGCCGTACTATGTCATAGTAACATTAAAAGGACTCACTGGTATGAATATGAAAAAGAAATAACACGATAACCACCTTCGGAAACGCTCTCCTAAGAAAAGAAACAACAAGGTGAAAAAGCGAAAACAGAAATAAAAGACACTTTTCGATACGACACATCAAGCGAACAGAAGCAGAAAGATGGGAAATCTACACTAAATCTCCAATTCTAACTGTTTAAATCACTTCTTTTCTTCTTCGAGAAGCGGTACTGACGGTCAGTACCGGTCAGATAAATATTTATTCATGTACAACCCGAGCTGGTACGCTGGTACCTTACCATACCCCACAACGCGACCACCGAGACAGCTTTGCAAGCGTAGTTGAGGTAAAGATCAATAATAATTTATGTTTCTTAATACTATAGGTTTACCACACCTACCTTTACGTCAAGCCTAATCTTCCGCTCCAGGCGATCCATACCAGCTACTACCTAGCCAGCTAGCTAGCTAGCAGAAGATGCTGAAGTAGAGCCAGACGGAGACCGCTTTGACACAATGTTGTTTTCTGTTTTCTTTGCCGAAGGTGGAAGGTGGCCATCTTGAACTGCAACCAGAAGGCGGCTTCGTGGCTTCGTGGCTTCCAGCAACTTGCTGGTGGATCGAGGGCGGCAATGATGGTGGTTGCAAAACTACTTGCTGCTGAGCAGTATGTTGGCAGAGACCGCATTCTCTGACTGCTCTTCCGTGGCCACTGGAGCAACCTGAATTGCAACCCAAGCCCTTACGTGAGCCGTCTAGCTGGCCAGGAATTACAGTACTGGGCGGATGAGCGGAAAGCACCACGTGGGCCCCTTCTCGCAGGATTGTAGTGTACCGGTACCCCAACTCCACTGCCCCAGAACTGCATC